ATGATGTCGTCTTTGATTTTATTTAAATTTACCGTATTTCGAATTCAAGTCAAGGATTGACAACGTATTTAAACATATCAGAGTTCTGCGATCGTTTTGTGAAACATGTTCAGGAATTTATTTGGCTTCGTTAACTTGATGCCTTCTTTACTGTCACATCAAAGATTTTAAGATGCATCCTCTGTCTTTTCGCAGGAAAGTTTCTGGCATTTATTAGCCTTTTCCTCGACCCAACTTCAATCAACCTCGGTCAACAGTTTTCTTTCATTTGCGAGAAAGATAATAAATTTGGACTAAAAAAGCCACGTTACCTCGCTTACTTCTTAACCCAAGTTAGTATTTCATTTATGTTTATTTTCCACTGATAGGATAACGTGCCATTTAGTCGTGAAATGAGTTTGATGTGGATGAATGAATCTGATTGGATGATGACACAATCTGTAGACCAATCAATAAGAAGACAATGAGTCAGTGTAGCTGCCACACATCATGTTGACTGTACGTGCCGATTTATTTTAACCCATTCCAGTTTAATTGGAGAAGATTCCAAGAAAATATTGCAATGTTATTCTTAATCTTGTCTGAATTTAGAAACTGGATGGAAACTCTGTTATGGTTTGCGTTACATTTCGACTTTTCTGATGAGATAATTTGTCTTATTAACATAAATAACTTTACACGATGAAAATAGATATAGAATATTGAAATAGATAGAGGGTCTGAAAATGTCAATCTAAAGTTTATTGGATTTTCTCTTTCTATTAGTCCATTGCCATGTATGTATGAAGTCTATTCACATATGAAGGCTGCCAGAAATAGTTGATTGTAACAAGAAAATATATATGTCCATGCAGTTAGGACCTTTAAAGGACCCAAGGCACTGAAAAGATTTAAAAGATATAATTAATTATAATAATATTTTTAGAAATACATTTAGACCAAATGCACTGAAAAGATTATATATGGTGCTCCCATATATAATTTTGTTGTATTCTTAAGTTTAAAGTAGCTAAGTCCGTAACTCAGTATCATCCAAAATCTTCGACATTGAAAACACGATTTGTTTTTGTCCCCCGCCTTTCGAAGAAAGCAGGGGACTATTAAAATGGGTTCGTCCGTCTGTCTGTCCGTCTGTCTGTCCGTCTGTCCGTCCGTCTGTCTGTCCGTCACACTTTTTGGGACACAATAACTCTCTTCCTAATTGAGCTAGAATGTTCAAACTTGGTGTATGTGTTTATTAGGTCAATGCCTTGATGGAGTTCGAAGATGAGCATTTTCCGCTTAGGGTAAGCAGAGATAAGCAATTTGATTGGTTGATGCTTTGGGACACGATAACTCTCTTCCTAATTGGGCTAGAATGTTCAAACTTGGTGTATGTGTTGATTAGGTCAATGCCTTGATGGAGTTCGAAGATGAGCATTTTCCGCTTAGGGTAAGCAGAGATAAGCAATTTGATTGGTTGATGCTTTGGGACACGATAACTTTTAATTGAGCTAGAATGTTCAAACTTGGTGTATGTGTTTATTAGGTCAATGCCTTGATGGAGTTCGAAGATGAGCATTTTCCGCTTAGGCTAAGCAGAGATAAGCAATTTGATTGGTTGATACTTTGGGGCACGATAACTCTCTTCCTAATTGAGCTAGAATGTTCAAACTTGGTGTATGTGTTGATTAGGTCAATGCCTTGATGGAGTTCGAAGATGAGCATTTTCCGCTTAGGGTAAGCAGAGATAAGCAATTTGATTGGTTGATGCTTTGGGACACGATAACTTTAGTTCTAATTAAGTGAGATTGATGAAACTTGGTGTATAGTTTCATTACAGTAATACCTTGACTAAGTTTGATAATGAGCATTTTCTGCTCAGGGTAAGCAGCAATTTGATTGGTTGATACTTTGGGGCACGATAACTCTCTTCCTAATTGAGCTAGAATGTTCAAACTTGGTGTATGTGTTGATTAGGTCAATGCCTTGATGGAGTTCGAAGATGAGCATTTTCCGCTTAGGGTAAGCAGAGATAAGCAATTTGATTGGTTGATGCTTTGGGACACGATAACTTTAGTTCTAATTAAGTGAGATTGATGAAACTTGGTGTATAGTTTCATTACAGTAATACCTTGACTAAGTTTGATAATGAGCATTTTCTGCTCAGGGTAAGCAGAGCGATACGCAATTTGATTGGTCGAGACTTTGGAAAACAATAACTCTCCTACTTTGATTGTTAGACTATAAGTAAAGATATACTGTTTGATTGTTCAATACTTTGTAAAAGATAATTTGTGATAAATTTATATGTGTCCTCTAATTATTTTCCTATTTCGGCGGGGGACATCAGCCTCACTGTTGGCTTGTTGCAATTTAAATCAGCATTGGTGTTGTGATCTTAACTGGAAAAGATGGGCTTCTGATATCCAATATTTAAGACAAAATAAACATTTTACCACTGGTACACGATTCGTGTACTATAATGCGTTTCAGCGCCATTTGTAACAAGGTGCTCAAAGAATGAGGCCAGACATATTCCACAAGTCATGTCAAACGGTCATATCATATTCTATTTGGAGAGCATGCGCAATAAATAATATCGGTGTTGACTGGAATAACCAGACGGTAGAAACTGACTTGCTGTTGAGACTTCTGGCGTATTTCGCCGAACATAACTGATGACAATTCACAGTAAAACGGACACGATTGAATGTAAAACAGTTTATATAAATTCATATTACATTACTATATGTGTTGCGACTCATTTGTGCCAATTTCTAGGTCCAAAATATTAGCGATTTAGCTCCTTTAAAAGATATCATTAAACTCCTCAATATTAAAATAATACTAATAGAAATGGATTATTAATCCTATTTGGTCATCCACTATGTCATTGCACCAACTAATATGAAATGCCATACAAAGAATCTAGGGCTCCCCTTTAAGATAACAGTAGAATTTGTAGTACTAATATTTCTATCATGAAGTGTTAAATTGAGGGATCGTACATCTCTGTCAATTGATCATTTATTAATTATTATTAAAAGGTATACATATTATAAAACGTGAGATTGATTAACAATAGAAACTCTTATCTGGTAAATCCAATATATATGACACCTGTTTATTTATGTGTAATGTATCAATTAATACACCATTATCAAGAATTGATAAATATCGTGTGTTTTCTCTTTATTAGTTATTATTATTAAACATTAAAAGTAATATTTTGATGATATTCTCTATTAATTATTATTAAATATTAAAAGCTGTACAGTATGTTGATAATGGTCTCATTAGTTATCATTAAACATTAAAAGGTGTATGATAATAACATTCTCTATTAGTTATTATTATATTATTAAACATTAAAAGCTGTATGTGACATGTGTTAATAACAGTTTCCATTAGTTATTAGCTGTATGTTGATAGTAGTCTTTTTGTATGATTCATAATAGCCGGTGACTTTACCATTTGACTGCCACACCTCCCTTGGCATATGAAAATAGATTTTGACGCCTGCAGGATCGACAAGGAAAGTGTGCGTATTCGTTTTAATGGTATGGAAAACCTGGTCTGTGTACACATAAAAGAACCCTTGGCAGTTGGAATTGCACAACAAATCCCCCCCCCCCCCAATACAAACATTGAGATGAAAAAACACATGTTAGTCTCAAGATCACCAAAGTATAAATGACTAAGCCCCATTCCGTTAATACAATTTGATTTGCAGTTTAGTACAAAAGTAGAATTCTGATTTCTACATGTCCGATATACATGAATTGTCATCCTTTGTATACCCAGTGGTCTCATTCCGTTCCACTCAATCTGGGTTCATCCATGGGGTATTCATGTATTCAAATTATCTGCCCTCAATCATAGCTTGATTCTACGAATCAATAAAAAAAAATAGCTTACAAACCAGTCTTAGCCTCATTGTTTATGTTCACAAAAATATGGCGACTTGTTCGTTCGATTACAAGAAAGTTTGCAAGAAATTTAATATAAAAGAAGTGACATGCACACAAAACAGGCAGTGGCAAGTTGTTATGCTATTAAATGTATTGTCAATAAAAATAACACAATCATCAAGAGCAGATAATTTGTATATGTGTCTCCCCCATGGATGAATGGGGTATAGTAGAACGGAATGGGACCACTGGGGATACTGTGGATGATGAATTGCTTGCATGAGTGAATTGTTATGGATGCCAAATGTTACAAGTTATTTCTCTTGATCACTTCAAATAATACAATTGACACTCTAGTGGGCAAAGGTACTATCTGAATTTTCTGAAAATCATACACAATGTTTATAGTTAAAAAGAGATTCAGATCAGTGTTTGTTTATTACTTACAGTGTTATTGCCCATGATCAACTTAAAAAGTTGTATAGACGCCGGTTTCTAAATTTATGTGATCAGTCAACCTAACTTTCAGGAAACCTTTAGTAGTGATATTTCAGAAATGAAATTGATCTGTGATTAGATGATAATATGATGATGTGACAGAGACTGCTCTTGTAGCAGTTTGTCATATCTTAAATAGCGTCTGAACATGTGATGTCAGTTGTCACTCAAGATGCCCAGCTTGCAAAATCACCCTCAATTCCCCGAATAGAGAGCAAGAGATGCTCGTGAATTGATAGCTAATAACCCAGATGTTGGAAATCTTTGCAGTATAAGTAACGGTATTCGTGAATTCCTTTGTCAGGAACCTGGGCTTGCATTTCAGTTTTATTTGGAAGTAAGAGCCTAGCTGGAATCCAGTCTAGAAAAATGTCATGTACATGTATGTGCAGGTTTTCAAGTAAAAACTTTCTTAGCCTAGGACTCACCAGTTTGAGCCAGAGAGAAAACCTTTTTTTCTTATATTTGAAGTATAGAGTTTTTAAGAAATAAATCACTAGCAATGATTGTTTAAAAAATCAAAGAAAAAAATCAAATTGACATACATGTAGTCTAATGATTGTATTTTCAAAAAATTAATGATTTTGTTGATCTGATTTATCGTTTCAGATAGTGATTCAAGCTATTTAAGTTTTTCCAACCCAAATTATCAATTTGAAGACTGCTTAAACTCTAATAATAACAACAACCTTGAGACAAGCTCCTTAAACGACACAAGTGATTCCACAGAGAAAAAAGATCGTAAGAAATATGCAAATTTAGATTTGTCTGATCTGGGTATTCCGTCTAGTCCCTCATCTCTCACTAGTCCCGGTACACCGAGTCGAAATCTTGTTCTTCATAAACTTAACTCTCCTTTTAGTGAGGGAGAAAATAGCGAGGATGAGAGTTTTGAGAATTGTTTGGAAGAAGATCTGTCAGAGAAGGACCTGTTATCGGATAAAACGGACATCCGGAAAGCAGTGTCATACCGTTTGAATGAACAGCCCAGTAGTTTTCTCGGATATTACAGTATGTTGGAAGCGAAGGCGAGGGAATCGGCAGCCACTAATATCGATGCTCCAGACAGCAATGACGACGATGACTTTGAATTAACGGAAGAAGAGGAGACAACTCCGATGATGATCAGTTCTATTAGTAAAAAGTAAGTAGTACCATACTGAGTGAACATAATAGCAAAACCACAATGTTGATTTGTACAATGTTAACTCAGTGTTTTAATTCCATTATTCATGTCTGTCAATGGCTAGTCATTGTATGTTGTGACTGTTCTAAACAATATTTCCACATCGAATCAAGTTAAGGGACTGATATTGAAATGGGCTTAAGGGCCATATCAGTTACTGGTCTAAAACAATTTTCATGTCAAATGAAGTTAAGGGACAGATATTGCAATGGGGCCTCATCCGTCTGTCCATATTTCATAAACTCTTTTTAACACAACCTATTCTTGTTTCAAATTTTTCAACTCTCATGTTTTAAATTTATTTAAAACACTAGAGAAATATTCATTTAACACAATTCTATTTACTGATTTGACTGGATAATCTTATAAAGATCATAATTCATTCATAGTATTCACTGCCAAATATGTTGTTTTGATAATTCTTGAGTCTTGATCACAAAGACTTTTGTAGCCCATTAAAGTTTTGGCAAAAGTAAAGTTTAGTTAATGATTTCTTTCTAAGTTTGGAGAGATCAATATATTTAGCTGTTCATATCAGACACATTAATGATAGGACATTTCACAAAAATTTGATTGAAATATTACAAATCCATAATGAAGTGACTCAACTGTCTAGTCTAGCTCACCAAGATATGTTTATATTAAAGTGATATGCATGCAGATGTGTAAAATATTTATCAAGTTTGATTTATCTACAGATTTGGTGACAGTCTAGGAATTAACTCCCCTGATTCTAATGATAGCGGGATCCAATCAGATTCAAGATCTGAAGCTGGAACACCTCATACTAATGGAGATGCTGAAGCCAATAAAAAATCAGAAGAAAAGTCTGCTGTTAAACAGGTTTGTTTATTGTTTTTTTCAGTAATTAATTTGTCAATAGATCGACAATAATTGCAATTTTTAATAAATCAGAACTATTGAAATTTCATACTTTAAGTATCGTTGAAGTCAATATTTTTGGGACAATATCAACATCTACACAGCTTAATCCAGTACTAAAATGTACTCTTTGATTATTTTACATTTAAAGATGGGTTCCCAGAAAAGTATTTATCGGGTGGTTATTTCCAATAAAAGTATGGCAATTTTGATATATATGGAAAGTAGAGATATCCAATCTTATTAGAAAAATACTGGATTCCCCGAAAAACACTCATGGAGCATATACAGGACAAAAATGTAAGGGTTCCCCTAATCAACAGCCCGACGATAAGGAACTTCTGCACGCGTGATGTCAAAGGTCACAAGCGAACATTGAGCGCTTGATGTACAAGTTGATAAACTTTATGAAGAGTTAGACGTACAATACTTTCTGAGATAAAAATGACGGAAAAAGATGCGGGTAGTGGATAATCCGAGAATTTAATTAGGATTCGATATTTGTAATAAATAGTAAGCGATTAAAGACAACATCATCTTATGTATGCAATGAATTCTCCTCTGACTCCCAAGACGTGACGTAAACATGAGCTGGTTTGATCAAATTTTAATAGCAGGGCATTCCTTTGCAATTACAATGTTTGAGAAGGATTTGAAGCAAAATTATGACAAATTAATTAGTTTGAATATGTTTTTGGTCCATATATACCATTAAATCACCCAGTTTGTACGCGGAACCCGTCTTTAATGAAGAAAATAAACCAAATATCAACAGTTGGTAATCTCTTGACTTGGGTTCAGTTGGGATAAAATGAGGCCCACTAAAAGATTTTACTCAACATTTATAATTTATAGGTGGTTCTAGTTTGTTTATATTGCCAGATGATATTATTAGATGATGCATAATTAAATACTGAAGGGAATTGAACTATTTTTGAACTGATATTCCTTTTAGAGATTTTGGGGGTTGGCGAGGGGGCGGGGGATGGATTAATGGTTAACACAAAGTCTGTCATTGAGTCATGGAGTCAAGTAGTGTGGTTTCGAATTTCCGCTTGTACGTGACAACGAATAGGGTCTCATGTCCAACCTGACTGGTTTTCTCTGAATCCTCTGGTTTCCTGGATCCTTTAGGAACGGTCTCTGATCTACCTGTTTACCATCTCTGCTAAAAATGACTTTGTTTATCTTTCAAATGACTTTGTTTATCTTTCAAATGACTATGTTTATCTTTCAAATGACTTTTTTTATCTTTCAAATGAATCAAAGTTATTAATACACAATTTCCAATGAAATAAGATGTTCTATAATTCAGTAATATTTTTATTGTCATAGTCACTATTTGTAAATTTATTTCTCTTGTCATGTTAGTAGCAGTTTCTCTCATGATCTTAGAACGTTTTGCTTCGATAAATGAAGATATATTTATTATTTGGTGTGAATTTATCTGTTATAGGAAGAAGAGGTTAAGGAAACAACAGAAGAAGATAAAACTGATGGTGAAGAAAAATTACCAACTGGCTGGGAGAAATATGAAGGTAATTATTACTGTATTGAATTTTTCTTTAAAATTTTGTTGTATTTTCAATTCTCCATAACTTTGAAAATACTAAACAGAATTGATCCATTTTGTGGACTGATATTCCTTTTTGATATTCAACTTTCACAATATTGTAGTTGGCGTTCAAAATCCCTCAAATTGGGCTTTAGTAAGAATCTGTCTTGAAAAAAAGTACCCTGCGTCTTTGACAGTTTATAGATCCCAGGCAGTCATTAAACTTGATTCTGTTTTTGGGCTGTATTAAAATCACTGACTAATCTCAAAATTGCCCAATTTGTTGATGAATTAGTAAACAATGGTAATTAATTCATGAAATGTGATTGCATAAGAAGCATGATTTAGTGGTTGATGAAATATTAAACATGATTTATTTTGTTTCATGAAACAGATGAAGATGGACCATATTATTGGCATATTAAAAGTGGAACAATACAGAGAGAGTTACCTTCCCCTTCTCAGGGTGATTCACTTCGTTCAGCCCTAACTAATGATGTGGTAAGATGCAGTATTTTATATTTCTTTAAAATTGTCATATATTCTACCTGTCCTTCATATTCTGTCTGTCCTTCTCCTTTCTAAATACTCTACCCTAGGGCCATAAAAAAAAAATAATTGGCGGCTAGACCTCTTTACTGAGAATAAAAAAAAAAAAAAAAGATGTTCACTTTCATGGATTTTATGTGTTAGATTATTTTGTGAGATCACAATTCACCTTTATTCCATGTTTTACATCCATAGATACATGTAAAGCTTATGTTCCTTGCTGTATTGATACAGTCAGTGAATTTGTCTTGCTGTGATGATACAGTAAGCTAATGTATCTTGCTGTGTTGATACAGTCAGCTAATGTGTCTTGCTGTCTTGATATAGTAAGCTATACAATCAGCTAATGTGTCTTGATATAGTAAGCTATACAGTCAGCTGTCTTGATAAAGTAAGCCGATGTGTCTTTCTGTGTGGATACAGTAAGCTAATGTGTCTTTCTGTGTGGATACAGTAAGCTATACTGTATCTTGTTGTGTGGATACAGTAATAAGCTAATGTGTCTTGCTGTGTTGATCAGTAAGCTAATGTGTCTTGCTGTGTTGATCAGAAAGCTAATGTGTCTTGCAAGCCAAAATGAAACGAAAATGAATAAATGAACCAACTACTACTTAATCTTTCTAAACAGTTAAAACATTAATGGTCATGTGACCCTAGTGGAGTGTCATTCCATATAACATTCCACTATAGCTTCAAAACACATCTAGTTTATTTTCTTTTCCCCTTCAAATACTAAAATCATAGTGGATGTTTTTTTTTTATTTTACATAAATTAAAACATACATGTATCACATACAAACTAGAAATTTATAAGTTTGAAATATAGATTTATTTTTTAAGTTTAAAATGTGTAAAATGTATATATTTTAAGTGTAAAATGTATATATTTTAAGTGTAAAATGTATATATTTTAAAATATATACACTAAAATATTAAATTATATACATTTTACACTTAAAATATATACATTTTTAAGTTTAAAATTTATACATTTTACACTTAAAATATATTCATTTTACACTTAAAATATATACATTTTTTACTTAAAATATATATATAAAATGTATATATTTTAAGCACATAATCTTTATTGTAATATTAATAGTCTTATAATGTTAAGAACTACCAGTAACATTGAAAAAAATATAAGATTCAAACAAACTTTAAAATTCCACTTTAATCCATGGCTGCTATAATATTTGATAATAACCCAGATCACATGACCAGCAGAATATTGATTGATTGATCAGATTTCACGGTAAACGATATTTTTCGACTAGTGCTATAATAACTCATTTTAAACGCCCAGAGACGAGTAACAAGTTGACATAGGGTAAATAAATGTGATATTTCTCTTGCTGGCCACCAGTTCTCGTTAAGTTCTAATAAAAACCCTCCTAAGACCACGTTTGAAGTATTTTAAAGATGGACGCTGAACAGAATTGACGCATTTTATTGTCAAATCAATCTTCGATACCTCACTGGCTTCAGGATGAAACTGTTTTTTTGCCAATAAATTTTCTCTTTGCGTTTGCTCAATCTGTGGAAGAGACAATTTAGAAGTAAAAGAGTTTTCGTTGAAATGTTATTAAAAGTTAAAGCCTCCAGTCGACGAAACAGTTTTACGTCTAGAGGCGGCCATTACCAAAATAAAATGCAGTGATTTAGAAACAATTATAACAGAAGTTGAAAGATGAGTTGATTCATTGGTTGAGGCGAGTGTTTATTGATGAATTTCCCGTGTGGCACGCTTGATTGATTATATCTGTAACTAAGTTGCTCGGTAACGGTTTGAATTTGACGATCTTCTAATCTAAGTTGATCAACATAAAAGGACGACGATTACTCAAATATTTCAATGTTCCAATATCTCATTTTTTCAAATTCCTTTTCTTTGAACTTTGAATTGACTGTTACTTTGAATTAAAAGGGGAGTTTACCGACCACCTTTTATTCTTTCTGTAAAATCTGTTTTTTTAATCCATTTGGCGAAAATTGAATTGAGAAAAGTCTGAGTCAAATGGAGATTTCACAAAGATTAGATAGAAATAAAGATTACAAGATGAAAATGGTTTTAAGATTGAAAGCGATTTAGTTGAAGACACCATTATAGAAGTTTTAAAAAAATGGAAGTTAGATGGCTTTAAATTAAAAATGACGAATGATAGATGTTACAAAGTATTCACTTTTCATCTTTGTAGTGAAAGTGCAAGGCGAAATCCCACGGGAGTTTGTTAGAATTGATTTTGTTGTCGCATGAAGTTTGAAATGTATTCACTCAATTACCCACATATATATCATAATGATAATTAACTATCACTTGCTACATGTAGCAACATAAATAAAATTCTGAAAGAATTCTTTCATGTGAAAAAGGTTTTAATTTAAAGATTTAAATACAGTTTTGTTTTAAATACACCATTATAAAGGATTTACAGAATAAGAGTTAGATGGATTCAAATTAAAATGGGTTTTCAAACATTTTATTCAAATGGACACTAATTAAACTAGCTAAGTCCGTAACCCAATATCATTCAAAATCTTCGACATTGAAAACACAAATTTTTTGGCAATTTAAATCAGCATTGGTGTGGTGATCTTACCTGGAAAAGATGGGCTTCTGATATCCAATATTTCAGACAAAATAAACATTTTACCATTGGTACACGAATCATGTGCCATAATTCGTTTCAGTGCAATTTGTAACAAGGTGCTCAAAGAATGAGGCTAGACATATATTCCACATGTCATATCAAACGATAATGCCATATTCTTATTTGTAGAGCATGCACAATAAATACTATCGATGTTGACTGGAATAACCAGACGTTAGAAACTGACTTTCAGTTGAGACTTCTGGCGTATATCGCTGAACATAACTGATGACAATTCACAGTAAAACAGAAATGATTGAATGTCAAACAGTTTATATAAATTCCTATTATATTATTATATGTGTTGCGCCACATTTGTGCCAATTTCTAGCTCCATAATATTACCAATTTAGCTCCTTTAAACTATGGTTGAGTTTTCCCAAAGAAAATATACTGAAGGATAGGTCTTTATTGGTAGCATTGAGAGCTAGAGAAATATTCATTGACCCAACAGATTAATGACAACGGAAAAAATATGAAAACCTCTATGTTACGGGTATAAAACCGATGGGGTTTGTTTTTAAACAATTTATCAAATGGATTGATAATATTGATGGTCTGTATAATGATGGCAGAGGTTACAGTATTTCATCTTTTTCAATCTTTATTTGATGAAATGAATCCATTTGTCACACTCTCATTGTGGTGATAACTTAATTTCTGGGAACAGATTCAGTAATCTAGGTACCTAGAGGATTGGTCGGATTTATCTGATACTTTTAAACAATTTAAACAAATTTATTGAGCATAAGAATTTAAACAAATTTACTGAACATAAGAATTTAAACAGATTTATTGAGCTTAAAGGAGCTAAATCGCTAATATTTTGGATCTAGAAATTGACACAAATGGGTCGCACCGTATATAATAATGTAATGTGAATGTATATATATAAACTGATTTACATTCAATCGTTTCTGTTTTTACTGCAATTTCTAATCGGTTATATTCGGCGAAATACGGCAGAAGTCTCAATCCAATGGCAATCTCTAGCGTCTGGTTATTCCACTCTATACCGATAGTATTTATTGCGCATGCTCTCCAGATAAGAATATGACGTCACCGTTTGACATGACTTGTGGAATATATCTAGCCTCTTTCTACGAGTCCCTTGTTAATAATGGCACTGAAATGCACCATAGTACACGAACCAACGGTAAAATGTTTATTTTGTCTTAATTATTGGATATCAGCAGCCCATCTTTTCCCCGTAAGATCACAACATCAATGTTGATTTAAATTGACAAATAATTTGTGTTTTCAATGTCGAAGATTTTGGATGATATTGAGTTAGAGACTTAGCTACTTTAAGAATTTAAACAGATTTATTGAGCATAAAAATTTAAACAGGTGGATTGAGCATAAGAATTTAAACCGATGGATTGAGCATAAAAAATTCAAAATGAAAGTCTCTGTGCGTCATTTGCTTGTTTTGTAAAATATGTCAAATTTTCCACGACTTAATCCACACTGAAATGAACTCAGATTGATTATTTTAAATTTAGTTGGTAGTATCCGGATTGGATTCAATCTGTTTAAAAAGAGGCCCATAAGAAGGTTTCAGGAAAATGCGTAGATTGTGAGATAAATAAAAACCTGTTAAAAAAAATAATATACATTGGGCCAATCACTAGTACATGTAGGTGTAGAATTCCTAGGCCAATTTTAAGAATCAGTCTGCTACTTTCTGAACAGTATATATTATACTTGAAGAATACGATGTGGAATAAGGCGATAAATGACATCAAGGCAAAAAGGATTTGTATTTGAAATTGAAAAAAGGATGGGGTATATTTTCAGACGATTCTTGCATAATTTTCATATAAAGTAGAAAATAAAATCTAAGTTACAGTGTCAACTTTTTGTCTTCTTTAAATTTTAACATAAAAAAAATATTAATTGAGTTCAGTGGAACGTATTTAATAAGGATGAAGTATATTCTCACATGATTCTTGTATAATTTTCATATAAATTAGAAAGCAAAACAACAAACGACATATAAACTACAGTGTCAAGTTTTTTTTCTTATTTGAATTTTAACATAAATTTTTTTTAATGCGAGTTTAAAAGAATCTATTTAGATTTAAAATGTGAGAATGAACAAAAACTGATAGCAGTAAAATGTATGGTTTATTTGCGACACGTGTCCCAAAGCTTTTAGCGCTAATAGTGGTAATTCATCACGTCTGTCGTTACTCAATGATCTCCAGTAACGCGGCAGGAGCATGATTCGACATTGAATAATAAGATTACAGATTGTGGATAATTAACCCTATAAACGTCAGTCTGTTAATCTTATGTAACATCTGTCTCCATTTTGTTTCTTGCTGTCTGATGTAGCTTGATCATGTGTAGAATATAAAATGCTAAAGGCTCAGGATTTTGAAAACATGTTTTTAACATTGACTTAAATGACAATTTGATTTGGAGCCTGTAATCTGTATTTTGTCGCCATGGAAATTTTGATTATGCTTTCTCTCTCTTGTGATTGTCATTTTGACTTAAAAATAATAATATAGTTTTGGTATTTGTCTAGGGTTTAAATTAAGTGTATTAGTTTTTATACGGCCATATTGAAATGTGGTTGTATATTGTCGTCACTCCCCTCCTTCCGTCCGTCCATCCGTGGCCCTTGATCACTTTGAAAAATCTTGTTGATGCGTAGAGACCATAGTTTTAAATTTATTCAACATGTTTACGCCTATATATAATTGTTTCAATTGATACACAGAGTTTAAAGTAGCTAAGTCTCTAACTCAATATCATCCAAAGTCATACACATTGAAAATGCGAATTATTTGTCAATTCAAATCAACATTGATGTTGTGATCTTACCAGGAAAAGGCAGGCTTCTGATATCCAATATTTAAGACAAAATAAATATTTTACCATTGGTACACGAATCGTGAACCATAGTGCGTTTTAGCGTCATTTCCAACAAGTGACCAGAAAAAACGAGGCTAGACATATTCAACTGGAGAGCCTGCTGAATAGACTGGAATAACCAGATGCTAGAAATTGCTATAGGGTTGAGACACATGCCTTATTTCGCTGGACATAACTGATTTGAATTTAGAGTCAAAACGGAAACAATTGAATGTAAATCAGTTTATATACAATCAGATTACATTATTATATGCGTTGCGAGTTGCGACCCATTTGGGTCAATTTCTAGGTCCCAAGTATTAGCGATTTAGCTCCTTTAAAGTCTTGAGAGGAACAAGTATATTGATTTTCAATGATTTTTGATATCTTGAACAGCTCAAACCATGATATTAAATGTTTTGTATACTAAATATTAGCATGGGCCAAACAAATTCTAATGATTTTCTGATAATTACTTAATGAGTTGTTACTCTTAATCAAATTTTAGTGTATTATAAATGTTTCATTACCGACCAAAGTAGAAATATGCAACAACTCTTGTCGACTGCCTAGACGATTTAGCTACTGTGGGCATATGTTTTGTTGCCAGCCAACCTATCTTTATCAGTCTTTAGTGTTAGCTTATCAGTGTCATTTTAGACAGATTTCAATATAGATTCAGTGAAATACCAAAATTAAAACACAAAAACCATCTATACACGTACAATCAAATTGCGCTTAAAAAGATAAACGAAATGTTGCGCTATATGTAAAACACACCAGTGGTTGTATTCCATGTAAATGGTTGTTGTGTCCTTAATGTCAAAATATATGCCACTCACAGATTGTATATCAAAATTTCCCTTTAAACAGCTGTCAATAGATTTTGATTTCTATCATTATTGGTGATCCTATGATATGTTACCATGACTTTGCAGTGAGCAAAATAACTGGGTCATAGAAGGTGGTTTACCTCTAGCATGATTTATTTCTTACACCTCGATTTGTTCATTTCCAGCTACGCAGCAAGCAAAAGGCTGTAACACCTGTTATTCTTATTGAATCTCTAAGCTAGATCCTTCCGATTCAAACTTCAGTGTGATGAATGTATTAATTTGACTTGTTTGTTTCCAGCAAGCAAAAAGTTGTGACACTGCTGTTCTAGTTAAACCTCAAAGCTAGATCCAGTCAGGTTCAACTACCATGGAATATATCTCAGCTTTCATAAAATTTCTGTTTTAGTTGCATAATGACTTATCTTATCCATGTTGATTATCTGTTTATAGAGTAACCATAGTCTGAGTTCTCTCCCTTCTACACCAACCAGTATCTCCTCCAATACAGAAGAACATTTACAGGAGTTTGAAGGCCATGCTCTTCAATATGCTGCCAAATCTCTTCAATCACTGTAAGTTTTTACTGGCGCATTACTATTATATTAATCACAGGAAATGGAGGTTTTATATCCTATTTTTATGCACCAAGCGGGATAATGATAAGGTCCACATGCCATGCAGGAAATGTTTTACTGACAACCCATCTTCATTAGCCCAGTTGGTGCAGAACAGTAGGACGTTAAACTCTATTTAATTTTCCTGACACTCTGGCTTCTGTCTATTCGATTTCGAATTCGTTAACTTGCTACCTCGTTTGTTTAGTCAAATCTGTTCAATCCAATGTCAGGATTGAGTCAGGTCTTTCTGGTTAGTGAGTAAGCACCATAGTCACTGAGTCACTGTTGGGGTCCACGGACTAGATAACAGATTGTAGGCAGATCCCAGTATATTATACGCCACTACTCTACAAAGATCAGCTGAAGCAGGTGATGTTTCCCTTTTGGTCCTCAATGAGTAAAACATTGGCTCACTAACCAGAGGGCCTTATATGGATAGTCTTTCGGATGGTACGAAAAACAGAGGTCCAGTGCAGACATTGATGTGTATGTAAAACGAACCCTTGAAAGTTATAATTTGATATAATTGTGATGCTGTCCAGACAAAATTTTCCTCACAGCAAACTGTGTGACATGACATATACCCATCTTAATTAGCCAAGTTGGAGCAGAATAGTAGACCGTTAAATTCCTTTCTTTTATTTTTTTCTCAAAGATTTATGAAGTTTTTTTATTACACATTGTGTTTCCAGGTGCTCTCAACCGCCATGTCAACAAGTTAAAACAGATCATGTGACAGGCGAGAAACCAATCAGATACGCTGTTAGGTCATTGGGTTGGGTCAGTATTGCGGAAGAGGATCTAACACCAGAGCGTAGTAGTAAGGCTGTCAATAAATGCATTGTAGATCTATCTCTAGGACGTAATGATATTAACGATGTTGTTGGCAGATGGGGAGATGTAAGTTGTGAATTTTCTTCATTCTTTTGAACTGTCGAGGTTTTTTTTAAAGTTTTTTTAAATGATACAATTAATATTAATAACTGACATACAAATCAAAATATTACATTTTTTGTGTATTAAACACCCCAAATTCTTTTGTGGGGGCCTGTCCCAACTTCTCTCCATCATCTTTAATAGCAATGGATTTGTTATGTATTTTATTTTAAGGGAAACGTTTTATATATTTTTTTTTTAGGTCAAAGATTTGTTTATGGCGGGGGATTGGATGGTCGAATGGTTAGCAAGTGCACGCTGTAGCATAGGGCCTGTCATTGAGTCAACTGGCGTGGTTTCAGTTGTACGTGACAAGGAGTAGGCTCCCCTGTCTAACCTCGTGGGTTTTCTCCGGGTCCTCTGGTTTCCTCCCACTGCTAAAGACCCCGACGCTCAAGCGAATTATTGAAATAAAATTAAACCATATGTTAGTCCCGAAATGACCTAGTTTGTGTCAAGTGGATGTTAAACCCCATTTCTCTCTCTCTCTTGTTTATGGATTTTATTGTAGAGGAAAGATTTGTGTATGGATTTGTTATGTATTTTGTTTTAGGGTGAAAATTTGTTTATGGATTTTATTTTAGCGGAAAGATTAGTTTATACATTTGTTTACTTTACGTATTTTATTTCAGGGGAAAGATTTGTTTATGGATTTGGATTCAAAGAGTTTACGTCTGGTAGATACACAGGATTTTAGTGTTCTTAACTCTCAGTCTATTCATTCCATTAGAGTTTGGGGTGTCGGTCGTGATAATGGAAGGTAGGTTGTTTTTTGTGCACCGATTATATTGTTTAGAACAATCAGGGTTCTGTTACACCAAATATTGGGGACTTTTATATAATCTTAAGGTGGCATAAAAACTATCAGTAAGAAGAAAAAAAAATTATATAATTTGATAATGTCATATTGAAACTAAGACTGCAGGTACTATGACTCATCGAGAAATTTTTACCCACTGACTGTCTCTGATCAATCTGGTTAAAACACAGATCCTATTTCGTTTCATTTTTATAGTTCAAAATTTCGTTTTACTTGTCTTTACTACACTTGGATCTGGAAGAGTTGTTATTTAACTTGTGTTCTGAATGGTGTCAGAGTTGTTATCGTAGTTTACTACCAATATAAACCTTAAGATCATGCCTAAATCTAACCCTGTGACTTTATATCACCTAATTATTGATCACTCTCAGTTAAACTGAATATTATTTTATACAGAGAGGCAAAGATTTCCAAAGGAGTAATGACTTTTTAAGTTCATAGGTTAAATCTGAAGAATTTGTTCTTTCAAAGTTAGAAACTACAAGAAATTTGTCCTTTAATATTGATTGTTCAATTCCTTTGGGACAAAAAGCTAATGTCGACCCGTGTACAGGTTGGCATCCACATACAAGTTAATGAAGAATGGGTGAACACGCTGATGTCCACTCAAAATACATGGTACCATTGCAAACAAAAACCATATTTTAGTCTCAAAATGACCAGAGTATTGTTTTGATGATACATAAAACCACATTCCTTTACAATTCCTTACTTTAACCCTTTAACTACTAAATCCGTTTATTATTAGATAATATCTCTACCAGTAGTTCACTTAACTTATTCTGTGCTTCCAAAACTACCCCAATTAACTAATTAATGTGTCTATTACTGTCAATGCACCAGATGACTTATAGTCATTTTCATTATATAGATTTTGTAAAAATTAGGACTGAGATCGAGATGTGATCTTATAGAGACAATCTAAACATATAAATATAAACAACTATATATGGAAGCAATTTATTCTTCAGTAGCTGATTGACAGAAAATGATAACATCATGAATTCAATAGAAAGTAGCAGGAACTTTTTATGGTTATAACTTAGTTAGGATTAGATCAGTTTACATGATTTTGGGACCAATATGCTTTTTGATAAAACATTTTGTGTATGGTCTGAAGGTGGACTGACTTTTCAGCCATTGAGGTTGAATGAATACTAATAGGAGTGAGCTGGTTTGGGTTTGAAACCACTGTGGGCAAAACGGTAGTTACAGAAACGTTGTGGATTCGATCTGAACGTTTATGTTTGCCTTTTAATCTGGTATACCTTTATTATTTTGCCCTTTCTTTGTAAATAAAATCCCTTTCTTATAAGTGAAAGTCTTCTGTTTTAACCTTAACACCACTTTTTCTTCTTTCTCTTTAAAATTGCTCTCATCTTTCAGGGAAAGGTAACTCTCCACTATATTTATATTTGTGTCCTTTAGTTGCTTATTTTTGAAGAAGTAATTTGTTAAATGGAAGAACTTTGTACTGTACTGCTTCAACATATTTGAAATTAGTATTATATGTCATTGTCACTTTTGATTTTGTTGTTATTTAGTATTTCTGTGTTCACATTACATTCACTTATTTTCATTTATTCATCTATTAAGTCACATGGTGCTTTTTTGCTCTAGTTCCGGGAGCGAGCCATGTTATCCCTGTAAGTAAGGCACTGACTTACTTATCAAGAGGTGCTAGGTTTGATCCTAATGGCTAAAGACAGGGGCCTGGCAACTGTGGTAAGGAATAGCATGTGGCCATTTGGATGCTACAGAAACCAATGGTCACTTGTACACATTGACGTGCATGTAAACGAACCCTTAACAAATAATTCCCTCTATATAGTATACTGCCTGGTGGTTGCAGAAAATTACTCATTCAGGATATTACAGTCACCTCCCTCCCCATTTAATCATAATGGTTCATTCAGCCTATCATCTATTCATTCATTTGTAAATATATTTGTAATTTAGTATATTATTTTTTTAAAAGGTCGTATCGTAATGTATTTTTATAGTATGGTATATTTGCAATGATCTGATATTTTGTCTATATTTATGTTGATAATTGGCTATGCAATTAATTATACATACCATTGAGAATTCACTCACTTTTGGTACATTTATTTCTCTTTTTTATGCAATTTAATTTTTAATCAAATCAAGTGGAACATTAATAAATAGTTGCCATTTGATTTTGATCTGAAATTTTAAATGCAATAAACGAAAATAAAATAAATGCCTTTAGATAAATATGTAATGTCGGGAGATTTTAATTGTAAATTGATATTAACAAATGATAGCAAAGCATTAAAAATCTTTAATGAGTGCTGTGTCACACATTTCAGTATTTTGCCAGTCTGTCAACCAAAATCCTCAATATTGTCATTGTTAGGCCATACTAAAGAAATATTGTGGTTCTCAGACAATCTGTTCTAAAAACCTGATGTGGGATGGAAGGGGTATTTTTATTTTGTCAATGACTTGTCATAAATGTCACATTTCAAGGCACTACATTTATTTCACCTTGTAGTTAAGAATCTATGATTATCCAGTCCAGTGTCATTTATGATTGGCAATAACATTAAACATACATTATGCAAGACTTAAATCTGCCTATTTCTTTAGACCTTAAAAGTTATCTAAATTATTAATTAGACATTAATTAACTTATCAAGACCGTAATCAACTCTCGGTGCCATCGTTAGCCTGCGATATATAGTGGATTTGAATACATTTTGTGATGGATGATTTAACATAAAAATGGATAATCCACACTTTGTTTATTATCGTACCAATGGTAGTAATGACGATTGAGGCTAGCCTAAAATTGAATAGCTAATATCTCTGTTCAGAGTGAAGCAATTTGACTGAAATTTTCAGCATATTCTGTTTTCATTATCTATTTTTTAACTATTATAGCGCAAACTACCAGCTCTTTATCTCATCTTACCTAATGCCCCTTTAATTATCATATTTGAGAATTGAGCCTATCAATTGCTACTGCACATATCTTGAAGTAAATACAGGGCATGCATCTCTTTTTAAGTAATGCAGGAGTATTTGAGAACCAGAATATTTTTTTTAATATATGGCCTTGTATACAGTAACTTCTGTTTTTAGAGAATCCATTAAATATTAATATATTCATTTCAGAGATTTTGCATATGTTGCCCGTGACAAGATGTCTAGACGTCACATGTGTCATGTGTTCCGCTGTGACAACCCGGCTCGTCAGATCGCCAATACATTACGCGATATTTGTAAGAAGATCATGTTGGAACGTACACTACAGCAGACGACGATGAAGTTAAACAGGCCCACCGATTTACCCAATCTAGAGAAAATGGGCCAGCCGAACGGAGGTCAGAAAATGTATCAATGTAAGTGTATAATATTAAATTCAAACTTATTGTCTACTAGTACTAGGTGTCATTAAATTATTAATGATTGTTTGGATGACTAAAACAAGTCATGCACAATCTAGTCTGAGCTTGTCTGTTTGTCCTGCAATCATTGCATTATGTTTATTCAATGTGTCATGAAATTATTGCAGATTGTTCAGTCAATGTGTCATGAAATTATTGCAGACATGAAATTATTGCAGATTAATCAGTCAATGTGTCATGAAATTATTGCAGACTGTTCACTTGTGTTAATGTGTCATGAAATTATTGCAGAATGTTCAGTCAATGTGCCCCATTCTCTCATTCCCTGGCAACTATTACTAATATATTACCGAAAACAAAATATATAATTAACAACCATCTATTAAATTACACAATCCTTTATGAATTTATTTTTAGCTGTGAATTTTCCTACTCCTATGGAGGAACCCAAAAAATCCATTCGCTGTCATTATCTAGGAACTGAAATAGTGCCCAGAGCAACAGGTAAGCTACATAATCAGGATGTATATCATATATATATATTTAATCCAGGTATTTCTTGAATTAGATTTGGTGAACAGGCTAGTCCTGTGTCATCTTCCCTTTTCGCATATTATTAGATGACTGAAGTTTATTTGCATGATCAGGTGGCCACTCCAATATGTTATGCAGTGCAATTGTCTAGGGTTATACTTCTTGCTGGTGCCAATATATAAGTCTGAAATAATTGATTGAGCCACAATGTTACTGTGGGTAGTATTGAGATAACCATGAGGTCTCATGTTTGATCCCAGTGCTTGCAGAGAAAGTTCTTCAGGATTTTCTAGCCTGAGTAGTTTCCTGAGTGCCTGTCATGGAAAAGCATTGAAATAAGACAGAACAACAAGGTCCACCGGTTTACTCATTCTGCCAGAGTGGCCGAAATAATTCATTAAAGTGTCGATAGTCAGAGGAGGGGCTCAGCTAGGGGTCAACTTCCAAAAAATTTAGGCTACTAACCCGATTATTTTAGACATTGCCCGAAGTTATGTATATAAATATATTTTTACAAGAATTAGATTGTGGTACAAGAGATATATGGCAACTCTGAATTTATGTGTAAAACAATTGGTGCATGGTATGTAAAAGGTTGATCACCCCTAGTGTAGGCCCTTCTTCATTAGCACAATGGTTTTTAAAGCTTTCTAATAATCTAGATGCTGTCGATTAGTATAAAATGTTTTATAAAGAATACAATTTGTATACAGGTATGGAGATATTAAACGTGGCTGTAAATAGAGTGTACGATCGTATCCCACCAGAAAGATGGCATTTTGTTAACGTCTCTATCGCACCATCAACTATTACAATTGCAGAGAACGGAGTAAGTTATAATACATTTATTGTGCGTTACTATATCAAATCATATCTCTATTATGAATTATGGATAAAGTGGAGACGAAGTTTGCGTTGTGATAATTATTTTAGCAATGCTGTTATTATATAAGGGTTTTGTCATTTTGTTCACCTCAGTTTAGCAAGATATGTTTTTTTTTCAGGGAATAAGCCAGTAACCCAATTTTTTAAAATATTTATTTAATTGACTTTTTAGCATGAACATTATAAATTTAAAGATGCATTATTGAGCTAAATCTATTGTTTAGACATAAATAACATTACAAGTCCATAATCCACTCTCTAGACCATTAGATGGCATATATTATTTACAATAATAAGCAATCAACGCTACATCTTCATTCAGAATAAAGCTCTTTATGTAAATCTTACAAAAAGCCTCTTAATTGACTGACAGGTAAGGTATCCAGGTGGTCAAATTTAACTGTCAAAACTGATCATCATGACTTGTCATATGTAATGGTTATAACTGTATTTTTTTTTTTTTTCAGAATCCTGAGAACAAGATAGATGAAATACGTGTGAGGTTTTTATCTTTCATGGGCATAGCCATGTCAAATGTCAAGTAAGTTGAATGAAAGATATAAAATACTCATCCACCTGAGTTGTCACCTTATAATACCATGGTGAAGACTGTACCATTCACAAAGTGGTAGGATTTACTGGCCGGATTTGGTTCATATTATATATGCAAGCCTACATTGCTAATGCAAGTCATTGCTATAAACAATAGTCTCTTTTCGTTGACTTGTATTATCAGGTCAGGTCAGTATGTCGTCATGGAAAAGAATCTGATTTCTGTTCTGTTATAAGTCTAGTCTACAAAAATAAAGACGAACCAATTACTACCTTATTATACCGAAATGAGTTAACTGATCTTTCTATGTGATGTGTTGTTTTTGTTTCAGATTATGTGCATTTGTTGTTCATACAGCAGAGAATCTGTTTGTAGCACATGTATTTCACTGTGAACCATCAGCTGGTCCTCTATGTAAAACTATAGAAGCTGCTTGTAAGGTAAGTTATAAAATAGACACTCAACTAACTCTTATCTAATCTAAATATTAAAAGAATAAAATAAAAACGTGATGTATCAATTTAATTTTTAAAGTTTCTGTGGACTTGAAGCCCAGGATGAAATTTAGTATCTTATTAATGTCAGAATATACTCCAGAATATAGACATGGACAGATTATCACGATGTTGCAAAAGATTTCAATATTATGTTAAAAGTTACGTTATATTGATATGATTTTATCACAATGTTTATAGAGTTCTATATAAATAAGTATATTCCTTGTAGTTGAGATACCAGAAGTGTATGGATGCTCATCCACAAAGTCCTAAAACACCACCTAGTCAAGGAAAGGTAACTCTTGTTTTAATATACTTCTTTCTTTGTATTTATTTTAATCTTCGTGTTTCAGTCAATTTTATTTTTTTGTTGGGAGATATTGACATTTAATTATAAAAATAACTTTTTGAAAAATTATCCAAATGGGTGAAATCTTGTAGATCGACAAGGCTTCATAAAACTTCTATATCTCCCAACACCAGTATGTTCTTTGTCTCGTAAAATATAGTACTTGCATTTTAGTTATATTTTTTTAAATTATCAAAACTTGCATTTTAGTTATATTTTTTTAAATTATCAAAACACTATATAGAAAATTGTGCATATTCAAGCCTGAAGTTTGATTTTAAATAACCTATAAAAAAAGTTGCTCTTTTAAATTAAACTTTATTTCTTTAACTTTGATTTATAAAGATATATTCCTCACAGATTAATTAGGTCATCTATTGGGTCACTAACAGGGTTTGTTTAATGAGAAAGTTCACCTGGAGTTTCAAAGCCTGGTTCCTCTGCATGTCAGTGTTGTAAGACGGGAGGGTGTGGCAACGACAAGCACTTAGTCTTTCAGATGGTACAAAAAACCCAGGCCTTGTATATATTGGCAACATCTTAAGGATACGCTGACAGTTGGCAGTCAACAAAGATAACCTGATAATTGACAATGAACAAAAATATTCGGATAGTTGTCAATAAACAGCTGATCGGATAAAGTTTTTTTCATCGCAAACTGCGTTGTGTAAGCCCGTCTTCATTAGCACAGTTGGTCATCTATTACAACCTAAATTCTTATTTTCACCCCAAATTTTATAAACTGGACGTGACCAAGGGTAGTCTGTCCAACCTCATGTGTTTTTATCGAGTTCTCCGGTTTCCTCCCACAAGTAAAGATCTTTATGCGCAACAAGTTATTGAAATAAACTTGACCCATATATTAGTACCGAAATGACCAAATTTGTGTTGAGTGGACATTAAACTCATTTTTTTGCTGCCAGTGGTTTGACTGGACCTGGGTGTTAAGATCAGCTGCTTTAAGTAGAAATAGAGTGTACTAGATAATGTTCTCCTGTCAATAGTGATATAATACGTCTATCTGTTCTCAGAGGAATATATCTTTAAAATGTCTTTTTCATTAAATAGTGTTTTTTGATTAAACCTCCTGATCATCATTTGTATTTTTGGGACGTCTGATTTTTAATGCTTAATGCATTTAACATCGAAATAAGAAGAAAAAAAACAAATCAGCGGAAGATAATCTCCCAGCCTGGAATTAATTGGATTAAAAATAGTGCTGGCACAATATATCGTTAAATCAATGTATCGCTATTCACTTTCTCACAATTTGCGTATCACGATTCTTTTTATGTGTTTTTGTTGCTTCAGTAAATAACCTGTCACTCTTAATCATCCACGTCACACACTCTCCAAACACTCTTAAAAATTGTTTTGGTCCTTATTTTGATCCACATCAATATCGTGATATAAAACAGTTTTATTGCTTCGACATCGGCAGGACTAAAAATATCAATTATCCTGTTGTTTTCTTGGTAAATATTGACCTGGTTATGAATCGTATCGCAGCACCTGAATTGCAATACATATCGTATCGTGACTGCAATGGCAATACCCAGCACTGATTAAAAAAAAGTAGCCCATCAAAAGATTTTAGACACTTATAGGTGGCACAGGCTTCTTTATATTATCTGTAGAGGATTCCGAGTGTTGTGAAATTTTGTCAATACTGAATGGCACTGAACCATTTTTAGACTGATGTTTCTTTTAGCCATTTAATTTTGATGGTATTGTAGTTGAAAAGTGGTTTCAAAATTTTCAGTTGATGATCAGTGGCGTTTTTCATTTATTGTTATGTGTTTTTATTTTATATATGTATTATGTAATTTTAATTCATTATTGCCTGTTATTTTTGTTTATTTTTGTTTTTTAATAATTAAAGACCACGACACAGGCTCTGTTACCAGCCAGTTTTAAAACAACAGTCAAAGCAGGGGTCACTGCTGGTGTTCAAGGGGTCAAGGCAGGAGTTCAAGGGGTCAAGGCTGGTGTTCAAGGGGTCACAAATTTATTATCTAGCTTTAAAAGCAAGAGAACTGGTCAGTTATGAGATTATCCTAGGTAATACGCTTTGCAGCATTAACATTCCAAATCTTGTATTTGTCAATTTTTTTCCTTTCTATTTAAAGTAGTTTATTATCACCATTGTTATGGCCAAGAAATAATCAAAATACTATCAAAACAGAATTAATTTGAATTCAAATCAAAGGTTAATAGTACATTAAAATGGCTTTTTTTTAGTAAGTAAGTACGTCTTAGCTAGATCTGTATTCTTTGGAGCATAAAATGGACGAAAATAGGTCAAAAAGCAGATATTAATGTAATAATGATTTACATTCATTTTATAAAGCTTTTATCATTATTTCTAATCAATTCTATTTATCGAAATAAGTAAACAGTCCATATCCAATGGCAGTCACTCGTGTCTGGTTAGTCCAGTCTACATCGGAAGTACGGTTTGAAATTTCACTTAAGCACTGACGTTAAGCCTCATTCATCATGGCGGCTCATTACAAATTGACGTATACTGGTTTTAAAATTGTTCACTGTGTCTTAAGTCTTTGATATCAGGAATCCATATGTTAATTGTAAGATAACAACCTCACCACTGATTAAAATATACCAATAATTCATGTTTGTAATGTAAAAGACTCTAAATAATATTGAGTTTAAGTTTTACGCCCGTTAAGTTTGTGTATTCTTGGTTTCGATAATTCAGGCGTTGGAAAGAGTTGACAAAACAAGATGAGCTTTAATGGTAAATTGCTTGAAAAAAAAAGAAAGAATAACATAAAATTGTAATTATTACCCTGCATAACAAAAGCTTTCTGTGGCTTAAACATTGTCAATTCCCCCATTTCTTGATGGGTTTAACATTTATTATTTCCTATACTACTCGTAAGTTATAACTTATAAATAACACCTGAGTATGGAATACTAACTTATATAAATAACAACGGATGTCTGGGGTATAGAATACTAACTTACTTAAATAACACATGATGTCTGGGGTATGGAATACTAAATAATTTAGATAACTCTGGATGTCTGGGGTATGGGTACTCACCTATTAAAGGCTATTTACACAACTAGATGCAGAGAATGCTTACCGTTTCATGAAATCTGGTACCACTTTTCCATTATGCGATGGTTCTAAAATTGCCAGTGGTGTTTTCAGTCCTAAAGTAGTGGGGGGAGGGGGGGCGATAGCTAGTGTAGATATACAAGTATTTCTTAATCTCAGGCTAAGATTCTGTTCAAAATATACTGGTAATCAAATTTACCTTCTTTAAATTGATCCCCTAAATTCGCTACAGGACTGGAAAGCAATTAAAAAAACATACAAAGAATCCTGAATCGTCCTCCCAATTTATAAAACATTTTGGATCTCCTTCCCGCATACAAAACATCCTGAATCTATTCCTCCCCACACACAAAACATACCGGATCTTTCTCCCCACATACAAAACATCCTGAATCTATTCCTCCTCACATACAAAACATCCTGAATCTATTTCTCCCCACATACAAAACATCCTGAATCTATTTCTCCCCACATACAAAACATCCTGAATCTATTACTCCCCGCATGCAAAACATCCTAAATCTATTACTCTCCACATACAAAACATCCTGAATCTATTACTCCCCGCATGCAAAACATCCTAAATCTAATACTCTCCACATACAAAACATCCTGAATCTATTCCTCCCCGCATGCAAAACATCCTAGATCTATTTCTCCCCGCATACAAAACATCCTGAATCTATTCCTGCCCACATACAAAACATACTGAATCTATTCCTCCTCACATACAAAACATCCTGAATCTATTACTCCCCACATGCAAAACATCCTGAATCTATTACTCCCCGCATGCAAAACATCCTAGACTTATTTCTCCCCACATACAAAACATACTGAATCTATTACTCCCCACATGCAAAACATCCTGGATCTATTTCTCCCCACATACAAAACATTCTGAATCTATTACACCCCGCATGCAAAACATTCTGGATCTATTTCTACCCACATACAAAACATACTGGATCTATTCCTCCCCATATACAAAACATACTGGGTTAGTTATTGAAACTTGTGGGATGAAACTTATTAATGTATTTATCTAATTTTTGTTTGTAATAAGCATGTATGTATTATTGTCTTAGTGTTTGTTTATTCATTGTAAGAATTAGACATTTAGTTAATTTAATTGTATATTCTCAATGTATTATAAATTTTGTTTTTATGTAGAATACTTGTTTTTATGACATGTATTTTTCATGACAAGTAATTTTCATACTCTGGTAGATTAATGATTTTTTTGCAATACTAAATATAGATATCCAAAATTAACTTGGAGGCTGGGGCATTCGAGCTGTCATGGCACTGGTCTGTTGACAAGAATGTTGAAAGATCAAATCTGGGCATGGGTTGAGATGAACTGTGTCAGGGCTAGCAACCTGGTCATGCATGTAAATGAATCGTTGAGTTAGAAATAGGAAGAGTAGCTAGAAACACCACTGTTTGGGCAAAATTATCCTATCTTGTATTGCACATCTAACCATAGTAATAAAATCTACCATATGTTTGCCTCAAAATTAACTCTTTAAGAAATTCTTTTTTTTTATGTATATATAATTATTCACCTCAACTTTTGTAATCTGGATTTCTTTTTTACATGTTTCAGTCATTGAAGAATAGCCTACGATCAGTAATGTGTTCAATAGCTCAGCTCACCTCACCCAAATAATAAATGGAGAAAAAAGGATAACCTTTATAAAGGGGAGAGAACTCAAGTGAATAAGGCAGACATCTCACCAGAATAAGGGGAGCCGGCATACTCCTGGTTTAAAGGGTGACTCTTCATTTTATCATGGACCTTATAATACCCCATGATTTTATAAAGAGCTTTTTGAAAAAGACGCAATCTATTTATAGTAATTGGTACTGTAATTTTAGCCAAGCTTTTAAATATTTGACAATGATGTAGATAATGTTACAATGTATTTTATTTTAGGATGGTTTATTAGAACTTGTGTTCTGGTCACATGATTTTGAAAATAAAATATAATCCAGGTTACTCAAATTTAACCACTTTACAATCCAAAAACTAATTGCACACACAAAATATGAGTTTTCAAGACTTTATTTAATCACTGATGTAAACCAATTAGCTAATATCGATGTTTAGAATTTGATAGAAATTTGTAAAATTTAAGCCGAGTTTGTACACAGCTTTGAAAAATATATATTTCAATAAAGGCTGCAATAATAGAAGGTTAGCGCAACCATGTTATAATGTAAGTCATATGTCCAGCTATATAGATCTTGATCTTTCTCTGCTGTTACAATACCTTCCCTTGGTAATTCTTGTAATGAGATAGTTCTGATTGGTCCCAGACTGGAAATACAATTGATATTTAATCTCGGTCATCTAATAACAAATAACATTCATCCTCACCTGGGTGCCCAAATGATTTAATGCAGGCACTTGTGATCGTAAATCTGTCATTACTGAAAGTGTCAGGATTTTGATCCTGCATTTGTATTTGTCAGGAAGTAAGATCTCCAGTCTAACCTCATGGGTTTATCCCAGTTCTCTGTTTTCTTCCCACAGTCTCAAAATGACCTAATAAACTCCTCCTTCCCCTGCCCCTCTCTGTCTCACCCTCCCTCCCTCCCTATCCATTCTTACTAAGGGAAGCTGATTGAACAAGTAGAAGGGAAGGATCAATATGTAAATTAACAGTGTAAGATATTAGTGTAGCTGAAATGAAAGTTGTTCTGAGAGACAGTACTAAATTAACAAGAAATCAGTTACAATGTTATACTAGTATTTACATTAGAAATTGTTGATATCATTGGTATTACTATCTAGCTTGATGTAGCTTTTAATTTGTCAATGAGGAAATTATTAATGAACTATTGGCTCAAGGTTAATTTAATTAGATCACCTATTTTTAACTGAAAATATATATTTCTTATAATAAAATTATGGACTCACGCAGTGATCAGTACCATACGTTCACAATAAATAAAATCACAAAGAAATCCTATCCTGTCAAATTAAATTTGATAATATATCATCAATATAGTAATTGTTTAACATGTAAAGGAATCAGTTGCTTTGGATTTCCTAATAGGAAATCAATGCAGATCAGATTTCCATTTTAGTTTAGATGGCTTTAGAAGAGGGATAGTCTCACAAATAATATAAATGTGAATACTCAGAACCACTGCATTTAAGTGTAACAATAATGTGTTATAATCAGTTATATAATATGTAATATTTATTGATTCCGTCAAATTATGTTTTATCTTGTGTTCTGTATATGTGTATATATATATAAAATTGTGATTTCTCAATCTTAATTACTTGTAAGCTTTTGCTACTTTTACTTTTGCTACTTTCACTTTTCATGCTTATCAATCAAAACCATTTTACTTTTTAAGACCCGTCAATATTAACATTTTAGGAGGAAGTTTGGTTGTATCATTTTAGTATAAAAAGTAATGCTTCTTTCCATGCAAAGATTCCTTGCATATTGAATCAAAATTATGTTACCAGGCTTGCATGTATATATACTAGTTATCTGAATTTACTGTTTTAAAAGTTTGCCCCATCGTTACTATAGCAACCGAATGTAAATATGTTAGTGATAAATGTATGATTGTTATTATTTTATGTGATTTTAGTGATCATCTTGCCTGCCATACACATGTATATTAATTATTATACTTTAGTGCTCAAAGGTCAAGGACATTGTTCAGCCATGACCTTTGACCTTAAGTTATAGGTCAAGCTTTATGTACCCTGTATAATAAAGAGAAAAGTAGTGCTAGATGCAGCTTTATTTAGCAACAACAGTGAACAGGATCTGTAAAAAGGTTAATGATTGTAATATTTTATTGCATAATTTCAATTTTTAGTAATGAATAGTTCTTTTTGATTGATATGATTATTTAAATGGGATGTGTCATTCTGAAGGTTGTTGATAATTCCTTAGTATTAACAAATTAAAAACCTCCTACGAATAAAAAAACAAATAAAAGAAGCGTACAAAAGTAGCCTATTCCAGAAGTAGGGTGGTCATTGTAGTCTTGCTTGTTCATTCAATAAATATGATCTAAACAACACTGAACAAATTTCTTTCATGCATAGCAGGAATAGACTGGTTGACAGAGAGAATTGTATAGTCTCGAATCGCCAGACCTGTAATTGAGGCAACCAAATTATTCAGCTAAATATTAATGGGAATACATATAGTATGCATTGCATGGATATATCTCTGCAGGTATGGCTTATTGCATGGATATCTGCAGGTATGATTTCTACATAATATTGCTTTATGTTACAGATCGCTTTTAAATTTTAACAGGACCACCCTACCAGAAGTTTTGTATTTATTTAGACCAAATTTGGGTATTTTAAAAAAATCTTCTTTTCTTCTTAATGAAATGAAATCTAAAGTGAATCTTGCTATGTAAAAAATATATCTCATTTAAACACATATCATAATTTATGTTTCCAATATTATTTTATAAGTTATTTGTATTAAACATTTTGAATTTGCATAATTTCAAGTTTAAAGTGATTTTTATTTTGTTTTTCAATCGGATATTATTTTGTATTTTACATTAAAGAAATGATTTTACTTATATTGTATTTGATAATAAAGGGCTCTGATTGTTTTACTTGTTGGACTAAGTTCTGGCACAAGATGACATTTCTGAAATCAGGCAACATGTGAAAAGGGTCAAAATTTTTGGGGAAACTTAAATTAACTGGAGGGAAGGGGATAATAGTTATGGCAAATCCGGTAAATTATTCACGAAATCTTATTATAAAGATAATTTAAATATTTTGCTTTTTTATCGCCTGAAAGTTACTTTAATATAAATATACATCTGAGATATTAGCCAATGACCAAGCGGTATTAGTAATGCAAAAATTCCATTAAGAAATTATAGAGAAATGTTTAACGTATATAAGTGAATATACCCTAGTGATTTTTAGACATATTTTACATTAAGTAATGTGTTTTTATACGCCCACATTGAAATGTGGTCGTATATTGTCGTCGCCCCCATCCGTCGTCCACAATTGCTTGTGGACGCTCTAGAGGCTAAAGTTAATATCCGATTGACTTTAAATTTATATACAGTGTTTAAGGCCATGAGACGAAGAAGCCTATTGATTTTCAGCGATTTCCGATAATTACTGCCAGAGTTATGGCCCTTGATCACTTCAAAAAATCTTGTGGACGCTCTAGAGGCCAAAGTTAATATCCGATTGACTTTAAATTTATACACAGTGTTTAAGGTCATGAGATGAAGAAGCCTATTGATTTTCGGCGATTTCCGATAATTACTGCCAGAGTTATGGCCCTTGATCACTTTAAAAAATCTTGTGGACGCTCTAGAGGATAAAGTTAATATCCGATTGACTTTAAATTTATACACAGTGTTTGAGGTCATGAGGCGAAGAAGCCTATTGATTTTTAGCGATTTCCGATAATTACTGCCAGATTTATGCCCCTTGATCACTTCAAAAAATCTTGTGGACGCTCTAGAGGCCAAAGTTAATATCGGATTGACTTTAAATTTATACACAGTGCTTAAGGTCATGAGACGAAGAATCCTTTTGATTTTCAGCAATTTACGATAATTACTGCCAGAGTTATGGCCCTTGATTATTTTGAAAAACCTTGTGGACACTCTAGAGTCTAAAGTTAATATCCGATTGACTTTAAATTTTATACACAGTGTTTAAGATCATGAGACGAATAAGTGTAGTCATTTTCAGTGATTCTCGATAATTACTGCCAGAGTTATGGCCCTTGATCACTTCAAAAAACCTTGTGGATGCTCTAAAGGCTAAAGTTAATATCTGATTGACTTTAAATTTATACACAGTGTTTGAGGTCACAAGGTGAATAATCCTATTGATTTTCAAAGATTTCTGATAATTACTGCCAAAGTTATGGCCCTTGATCACTTTGAAAAATCTTGTGGACGCTCTAGAGGCCAAAGTTAATATCCGATTGACTTCAGATTGATACACAGAGTTTAAGATCTTGAGACAAACAAGTATATTGATTTTCAATGAATTTTTATGACTTGGAATACATGATACAGTATTAAAAGTTTTGTATACAAAATGTTAGCATGGGGCAGAACTTTATAAAAACCAAACAAATTCTAATGGTTTTCTGAGTTGTTGCTCTTAATCAGATTTTAGTGTATTTTAAATGTTTCATTACCGAAAAAAGTAAAAATATGCGACAACTCTTGTTGACTGCCCGGACGATTTAGCTGCTGTGGGCGTATGCTTTGTTGCCTGGCAACCTATCTTTATGCTTGTATTTATTTTTCATATTGTTTACCTTGTAGGATATCTAATTTTATTTTTTAATCACCATCGGAAGAAAAGTTATTATTATTAATTACAATTTTTGGATGAAATTTTATTAATTACAATTTTGGAAGAAATGTTATTGATTACAATTTTTGGAAGAAATTTTATTAATTACAGCTTTTTGTATTAAATAATTATTGTTACTTCATGTCATACAATGTATATTTAAGTGAAATACGACTTGATTTCATTTTAGAATCAGTCAAATTCAAAGTAGATCATTATTTCTTTAGAGTGGAATTTGGTGGTCCAGAGGCCTAATATGTATGCTTTAGCAGCTTTAGATCATAAGGTCTGTTAATGAGTCAACTGGCATAGTTTCTGTCTGAAGCCTGGGTGTGACAATGAGTTGGCTCACCTTCCCAACCTTTTGGATTTCCTATCTGTCCTTCGTGCAAGTGCATTGTTTTTGGTCCTGAAATAATATAGCTAGTTTGTGTTAAAAAGATGTTAATCCCAATTTCTCAATCAATTTCTTTACAAATTAGATATTTTATTAGTCAAACTACTTCTTTATAAGTTGTCTGTTTCTTAATCATTTGCCAAGTTCAAATGCAAAACGTCACACCCGGCACTAACTTTTTAAAGATGTTATTCGATTTTTAATATAAGTATTAAGACATAATATCTGTGAAAAATATAAAGAAAGAATGATCTAATTTTTTTATTAGCCTGATTTTAAAAGAAAAGACAAACACAACAATCCCAAACTTGTTAGCTAAAAATATTTTAAAACTTTTACTTACAAGATGTTGTATATTTAGATATATTTAGCTTATGAAAATATATTCCAGCACTGTAGTTTAGCTTATCAAAGTATCACACATTTTTGTAGAACAATATTAATACTTACACCATATTATATCCATTCAATTTCAAGGGAGGAGAAGATACTCGCCTCAAATATATTAATATTTCATTGGGAGTTACTTTCCCTTTAAATAACAATATTTTATTGTCAAATGAAAAGCTTATAGTGTTGGACCTGCATTGGGTTGTCATTAATCACGTGACCTAAATTGCTTTAAATCTTGATTGATGAAAAGAAAAGAAGAGTATAATACACAGACATAATTGTTTTGTTTTCTTTTCTCAATAGACCCCCCACCCCCCCATGCGAAATTGTCATTTTTAATACAAAATCATAGCGTTTTTGTGTCAAAATGCCCCCTCCCCCCCCCCCCCCAAAAAAATGTGATTTGCAAGTATGTCTAAGTTTGGACATAACTTGCTTGGAAATCGCATTTTGTGGGGCATTTTTGAAACAAAACGCTACACTTTTAAATTAAAAATGACAACAGATTACATGTATTGTAATATGAGTTGAAATAATGGTGGATTTGGTTAAATCGTGCTACCGAGTGGGATGTGATGTAGGGGAGAGAAGGTCCCAGCACAAGTCAAATAGCCCCACCTGCACTGCACTGTCGTTCTTTTATTCTGTTAAAGACTGGGCACATAGAAGAGAATTGTCCATCAAGCTCAATAGATTTCGTACCCTCACAATTATGACTGAGATTGTCCGATATACTAGTATGACCGTTTACGTGTCACACCTTCGAAAATACTTTTCAGTTGTGATAACACTAATATTATTATAAAAGATAGTCGTTTAGCGTCACCCACTCACTACACGGTAACCAACACGTCTCATAAACATAGACATTTTGTGTTTTAGCTGACGAAATATCTGTCACTTATAGGGTGCATTCTGCACACAGAGATCCATCTACTTCATACTTCGAAGTATATTGTTTTGTAATGTGGTTCTTTTCCGTTTCGGGGGATCACGGTGGCTAAGTGGGTAAGGCGCTGGCTCACTATCCTGGAGGTCGGGTGTTCAATCCCTGCATTGGCCGAGAAAGTTCATCCAGATTTTCCGGCGTGGTACCCCCTTGTCAGTGATGCAGTACGGAGGGCCTGACAAGGACAGCTGTCTAGTCATTCGGATGAGACGAAAAACCGAGGTCCCGTGTACACATTGGCGTGCACGTAAAAGATCCCTTGATATAAGAGTAGGCCGTAGTGCCGCTGTCCGGGCAAAATTTCCCTCATAGCACACTGTATGGCGTGTGCCCGTCTTCATTAGCCCAGTTCGGAGCAAAACAGCAGGACGTTAAACCCCATTTCATTTCATTTCATTTCTTATCCGTTTCACATCTGTCCTGTCATATACTCAAAGACTACATAAACCCTTTTAATTCCATTAAATGGAAGCAGAATAAATACCCCTCAAAATCTCGAAGTATACGTAGTGTTTTCGACTAAAGTCGTCGATTTAGGACTTAAAATCACAGGCACTTGAAGGGATTAAAATAAAACTTCAGTATAAGTGAATTTACGCGACGGCTTTGTTTATATTAAAAACGTTAAAAAAACACAATTGCATTAAACCGTCCCTTTGATCAGATTTTCAGATAAACGACGCCGAATTTATGCCAAATCTATATTATGCATACTACAGAGACCAACGGTTTTAATAGAAAATAAATTTATCGCTTACAACTTTTTTGGGAGTTAATTAAACATACATTTCTTTGTGCCTGAAATGTTATCTAAATTATTAATAAGACATTAATTTAATTAACGTATCGCTAGCCTGCGATGTTTACTGATTAGGAGGATACCATTTGCTGCTCCACTTTCATTCTTGATTTAATCATGAAATGGATAATCGAGACTATGTTTGTTATCGTACCGACTGTAGCAATGATGATTGAGGCTAGGCCGAAAATTCAATCGCTGAAATCTCGGTTCGGAGTGGATCAATTTGACTGAAATTTTCAGCAAATTCCCTTTACATTATCTATAGTGAGAACTGCCAGTTCTTTATCTAATCTCCCATAATGTATCTTTAATGTATTATTCACTTTACCAGGAAAAAAAATATTGTTCAGCAGAGGTTACTATTAATGTACCACCTCGTTTGGGGTGGGTGTGATTGATGGCTTATGGAAGTTAAAATTAAGTTACGACAAACAAACATCATCCAATGGTCAGTCGTTTCTTCGATTTCCAAAAGGTGAATTGTTTGAACGTTGCCCGATAGATTCGGAATATTCCAAAACTTGAATCCCTAAAATGAATATCAAGCCACAAATGTTTCAATTAACTTCAGTATTTATGTGATGAATTGGACAATTCGGCACCATCTGTAGGCGGTATAGACGGGAAAATCATCTATATTTCCAATGACACCTGTAATATTCGCGAAAGTTATCAAATTACTTCCTATTATATAACAGCATAGTCTGGAGGTCGCGTGTTCGATCCCGGCATTGGCCGAGGAGGTTCATCGGGATTTTCCGACGTGGTTTCCCCTTGTCAGTGGTGCATGACGAAGGGCCTGACAAGGACATCTGTCTAGTAGGTCGAATAGTACGAAAAACCGTGGTTCCGTGTATACATTGGCGTGCGCGTAAAAGATCCCCTGGTAGTTGGAATTCGATATAAGAGTAGGCCACAGTGCCGCTGCCCGGGCAAAATTTCCCTCATTGCACACTGTATGACATATGTCCGTATTCATTAGCCCAGTCGGAGCAGAACAGTAAGACGTTTAAACTCCATTTCATTTCATTGTTTTATTATACAAATATTTTGAATTTGTTTTCTTAATTAAATTTACGGGAAAACAGCCGACTTGAGTACATTTTAGCGTGGATTAGGCCATAGAAAATTTTATATTTTCCGAAAAATTCTGTGCGTAACATCAATATACAGAAAGACCCTGGGCCACTATTGTATTTCAACTATATCCATCCAGTTTTTCCCGCCATCTTAAAATAGGAGGATATATAAAACTACAGATACACAATTCTAATGCTATAGTCTACAATAATATGCAAACATTTTTCTGAAATCCCGTGTCTTGTACAATAAGGATTTTGGTAGGAGTGTTCAGTTGTCTAGCAACTATATTTTTACGTCCCTAATTTGAGTTTACTTAATATTTTACTAAACGAACACATTTTATTTTAAGGGGTTGGTGGGATGCGCGATCAAAACAAAACGTGTTTCGTGATAATTGGTCGGTAATGTCCGACTCTTGGGCCCACCTGTTCCTTGATGGATGACGACAAGCGGGTTAGAAACATAAGGCCAGGTTTTTTTTGTCAGGGTTTGGATCTGCGATTTTTCCCACTTGTAAAATCCACAATATCTTAGTCGTGTTGTATGTTTTACAGATAGGCTACCTGGGGTCTTTTCATTAACAGAAAAAAATTCCTCCGAAGTTGACTATGTTAAAGCAATATACCGCAGAAAATCGGTACAATGGAAAACCGCATAACACACAAATGAAAGCTTTTCACTGTTTTAGATCACCTTGAAAATCAAGAAGAAACATGTTGGTAATAAACAAATCATTTCATATCTACTGTTAATATATTATATGAGTGTGTGTAAATATAGCGACGAAATAGCCCATTAAACTTGTCTGAATACAAACTTGTGACAAACACCATCAACAAGACCCTGTCGGCGAGTTCAGCTAAATCCAAAACCCCGACTGCCCCAGTCAGAATCTTCCTTCCTTTCAACGGCAAAGTCTCCTACCAAATCAAACGGCTACTAATGCAACAACCAGAAATAGATGTAACTTTCACAAAAAGCAACAGCACTAAAGATATATTAAGAGCCAATGGTAAGCAAAATCCTACACAACTACCACAACCAAAGGGATGTGTTTATCAAATAGTATGCAATTGTGGGATTGCATACATCGGGGAGACAAAGCGACCATTAAATAAAAGGATAGATGACTACAAGTCGAAAGCAGCAACCAACAACTCAGCTCTAGCTGAACATTTGAACTCCAACCCTCGCCACAGAGTCCAATGGTCCAACGTAAAACCATTATGCAAGAATATAAGCAACAAGAGAACGCGCCGATTGCATGAAGCCATTCAAATACGACGACACAAACCAACGATGAACAGAGATCAAGGATTGTTCCTCCCCAGGGCGTATGATATTCTTATCACGTAATCAAAGTCTAAGCATAATTATTTTTTAATCATATTTAATACTTATCAATATTCCAGTAACAATTTTAAGTTTGTAATAACCATCATAATTTGCAAAAATGATAATTAATAATTCCCAACTATTTTTGCTTTTCAGGCCTGCTGTTATTGTAATTTAATGCACACAGTAGTTCTAATCCTGCCTTTCTTCATCACTATAACATCCAGTGAAGTACTACTCAATATTTTAAATTGTCAGCCTTCAGGGGACTATTGATCATTTGTGCAGTCATTGTTCTAAGGGTTTTTCGTATATCAGTAGAATCACTCGCATCAACATGCACATATCAATTATTTTTTGTCATAATACCAATCAAATCTCATCTTCTTGGGATGTTGTCATTATTAAAACCTATCAAATCGTTGTAAATACTCCACAACAATCGATTCATTTATCATTTGTGTTTATTTCAGTGAAAGGGGTCGTTGATAACATTTTATCAAATTTCATTTTCTTTCAACGTTTGTATTATTAAAACCCACTAATCATTGTGTATACTCCACAACAACTTATCCATTAATCAATTAGTCAATTTTTAGGTTAATTGGTATTATTGCTAATTAGCGTTTAATTAAATCAGATTACCTTTAGGTACACGTAAATAAGGGAGATCCCTGGTTTGTCAGCATTAACTAAGCATTGTTGTGTACATGTATAATAAATTGTCCCGTCAAATTTTCATTTTTTATCATAGCTTGATAATGACTAGAGAAGCCTAGTCGAAACGTCGCTCAGTTAGTAATTGTATTCCATAGAATTGTGACCTGTATTGTCTGAATACACTGGAGTCTTATAAAAAAACAGTGTGTTAACCTTTGCGTAACGAATAACATTCTTGGTAATTGATGAATTACTTGGTATTAATATTGAAAGTACAATTCTAGGAAATATTTGAACAGGTCTGGGCATGTCTATACACTAGACAGTATATTTAGAGGTTAGATAAAGACAGTTCACTCACGGGATTCTTGGGGGATTCAGGTGTTGGATATTTTTTTAGTGCTATTCGTGTTAAAAGACATGAAATATAGAAGTGGCGTTGTAATTTATACCTTTTGGGAATTAAGGGAACGGTGAAAAGGATCGTGGATATTTTGTTCCGCAGGTTGGCAACGTTCAACCATATATCTTCGCGAGCTACAAAATACATGTCATAAGTTGAACTAGATTTTATACAACAGTTATTGTTCCTTTTTGACAATCGACTGACATGTATTTTGCTACTCATTGTGTAAGATAGAATTCGAATCAACTGTTCAACAAACTCATTATTGGAAATATTGAATTCTGTATTTAAGAAGTGTCTCATTTTAATGGTAGTAAATATTCAACATGGAGGATCAGGAAGATAACTGTAGTATCTGTTTAAACATCTTCACAGAACCCAAAACTATCGATTGTGGACATAGATTTTGTGGAGACTGTCTGGAGGATTATTATACCAAGAAATGTTCTAAAAGCAAAAACTTTCCCTGCCCACTCTGTCGGCATAATGTGGGTGTTCCTGTAGGAGGCATCAAAATGTTTCCGTCGACAAATTCCAAAAAAAGAAAAATCGAACGAAAATCTGCGTCCAGTGTTTCCGGAATAGTAAGCCTTCCATCAACAAGTTGCAGTACTGAAGGGGAGGCAATGCATGTCGTGTCTGATCAAACTGAGAAGGTTATTTTATGCGATGCCTGTAAATCGTGTGATAACGAGATATATAAATGTATTGAATGTAATAAATATATGTGCTGTTCTTGTAAAAATACACACCATGACGTATTCTTTGCCGATCATCACGTGTTTATTGTACAGCATCAAGATAAACAGACACGTGAAAGGATAAGGCCTTGTACTCAACATACACTGGAAAAATTAGAATTGTATTGTAAGGATTGTAGTGTGGCGGTCTGTAAAACATGTCTGACTCAAGCTCATCAAGACCATGATACGCTGGAAATATGTGACTACAGGGATGAAGTTGAACACGAATTGTTGAGCTTGAAAGGCGAACTGGAATCAAAAAGTTCTGAATTCGAAAAATATGTTGGTGAAGTCAAAAAGAAGATTAACTCAATGAATAAATCTGCTCAAACATCTTGTTCTAAAATTGATCAACATGTTAAAAACATCTGTGATGTCGTCTTCCAGAGAGGAGAAACGTTAAAGAAAGATTTGAAGAAAACGCTCCAAGAGGAAGAACAGAAGATGAAGAAGATCGTTGATGGTACAAAAGACATGATTGGTCGCATGGCTAAAATAGCGCAGAACATAACAGATATTTTGATTGGTGATTGTGTGTATGATATAGTAGACGTGTTAACTATGATGAGACGCCAACGAGATGAATTGGAATCACGTGACCTGGTTAGCTTGCATGACGTCACAAGTAAACATCACACCATGGCCATGGGGGTAAATTATGACTCTCTTTTTAATATTGTTGGGGAGTTCCGGGTCGCAAGACAGACGACGACTACGTTGAAGCACGGTTTTAATTATGGTGTATTGAAAGATAGGGATGACTATGATAGGCCTACTGTGAACAATAAGGAGAACGAATGGGTTTATGGTCCCGCCTTCAAATTACAAGATTGTTCCTTGTATATCAGAGTAAAATCACATTCTGACAAAACTAACACTACTTTTGTTTTCGGAAATACAGAAACCCCTAATGATTACGTTGATGTTGGTTTGTATGTTGATGTTGGAGATAGTATAAATAAGTCTAGCATTCAAAGTTTTACAGTTAAAGCTGACATGAAGTTGATCTATGTGGATAGTGGGTCCAAACACAAAGAGGCAAAGACTTATCCTTCCACTCAGACATTTACATCGTCAATTGGTGTACTGACCTGGAATAAGGTTGGGTTTTATCGTGGAAGTAATATAGAGTGTACCGCTACAGTTGATATAACCATGACCACAGTTATATAATTAGACTTTGGAGACCATACTACTATGGAAGTAGTATAGCTTGTTTAGTTGATATAACCATGACCACGGTTATATAATTAGACATGGGAGACCATGCATTAGATAAAGTGCAAAACTATAGGACACATGTTCAGGACACCCGTCAGTCTAATATATCAGATAATCAAGGATGTGTATATATGTATATATCCAGGGTAACACAAAGTACATGCCTGAGGTAGGGTGAACCGTGTAGTGAAAATTTTCCCTACAGAAAGATAAGACTCGATACGGCGAATGTGCACGCTTCAGTGGCTTGTCTCGAAGTGATTTCTGACTAATCACGCAGTATGATAATACTCAGAGCTAGAGTCTAGAAACTATAAATAGCCATCGCACGTGCAATTCTCTACACATCTATCAACTACTACAGCCGTATAAATCTATTGTTGACGATTCTGAATAGCAGTAATATTTAGCGTTTTGGTTATTACAGCAGCTTTAGAAATTACGTTCTTTTTATTTTTTAAATTGCTTTATCATTAACTGTACCGTTAGGAGCGGCATCTTTTGGTTTAGTACAAATAATATCTCTGAAACACTTGCGTTAGGCAAGAACATGATACTAGCAGTAGTTTCATTTTACTTTTACAAGGTTCTTAAAACAATTGTTGAGTTGTCTAACGTGCTTTCTGTTATGTTTCGTAAAAAAGTAGTCTTAATTATCACAGCCTGTCAAACAGACGTAGAATGGTCGGTAGACTGGTTAAGCGAGACTAATTTCAAAATAAGGGCACGTAACCTATTTTTTACTCACAAGTGCCCAGATGTTATGGCCGACACCCGTAACCATCTTTCAGTGTATTATTTATGGATGGTTAAATGGTCATAGCTTATTAAGTACAACATGACCGTTTATTTAGTGACTTTAAATGTTTGAAACTGATTTAAGGCTTGGTATATATATAAATATTGTGGTGTAATTGTCGAGATAATTGGATATATTTATTTATGGTGGGTTACCCTACCAGAGAAAACCGCTGGAACCCATGGACATAACTAATATCCACCTCAGAAGAATCATGAATTCCACAAGAACGACGATCACCACACCCAAGGTAGACCTTAGCCAACGAAAGTGCAGTTTTGTAGAAAAAAAAGTTTATTAAATGCCAAAACATTTTTTTCGGATTTGGTTTTTACTTTATAAGTTTACGTAGTTATTACTGTACTGAGATGTATCAATATTAAGGTATATAAAATTATGACACATGCTAATATACATTATTACAAAGATATATCTTATAAACCTAATTGTCGCCGCCCCTGTCCGTCCGCTCGTCCACAATTGTTTGTGGACACTCTACAGGTCACAATTCTTATCCGATTTTGACGAAACTTGAAATATAGGATTATCTCCAAAAGACCTCGGTTGCTTTCGATATTGGCATGTATCGGATCGAAACTTCATGGATTATGGCCCCTCTGTAGAGGTCACAATTCTCATCTGATTTTGATGAAACTTGACATGCATGTTTATAACTAAAAGATCTTGGTCCCTTTCGATATTTGCGCATATCGGATCGTAACTTCCTGAATTATGGCCCATGATTGTATGAAAAATCACGTTTTAAACACTCTAGAGGTTACAATTCGTATCTAATTTAAAAAAAAACCCGTTTGAATATATCACCGTTACACCCTAATGATTGTTGAGTTCAAATTTCGTGAAAATCGGACCAAAACTGCCGGACAAAATGACCGCCCTCGTAAAAGTACGGTATATCAAGGTTGTGGACTCTCTAGAGGTTACAATTTTCACCCGATTTTGATGAAACTTGAAATGCATGTTTATAACCCACAGATCTTGATATTTGCGCATATCGGATCGTAACTTCCTGGATTATGCCCCTTGACTGTACAAAATTTAGAGGTCACAATTTTTATCCGATTTAAAAAAAACGTGTGAATATATCACCGTTACACACTAAGATCTTGGTTCCTTTTGATCATCGCGCATATCCGAACGGAACTTCCTGGATTATGGCCCCTGATTGTTCGAAAAAACTCATTTTTAGCTTGCGGATTCTCTAGAGGTCACAATTTCTTTCCTATTTTAAAAAAAAACGTTTAAATATATCCCTATTCCACCATAATGAAGGTTGAATTCGAATTTCGGGAAAATTGAAATGTAACTGCTTAAGAAAATGGGCGCTCTTGGATGAAACTGAAATGTATGTTCATATCCCAAAGATCTCGGTTCCTTTCGATATTCGCGCATATCGGACTATATCTTCCTGGATTATGGACCCTGATTGTACAAATATTTACATTATTTTTCTTTTAGCTCGTTCTCTGTCCATCTCTTGCAGGGCGTATCTTGCATGGCAACCGCTTGTTTACCTCTAAACTTAACACTGACTCACTGTTTGGACCTCTATCAAATTTGTAACATTATCTTGGCTTTTAATTGCTCAAGTGAAGTGAATCCAACACTAGTGTAACACGATAGTGTTTCTCAGCTCATGGAAGTTTTCCTATTTTTTAACATGGGATCCTATAAGACACTAGCTCTATCCCCAAGGGGTTAACATTTTATCTTGGTCAAAAGTAAGATATAAAGTGTTATCTAATTTACATAAAATGTTGTAATTTGTTTGTCTAATATCATTATTCAATGTTACAAGTCCTTCAATATTTATACAAATCACACAAAAACTGATATTTGTTGGGACCCCTTCTTTAGAAATAAGCCAAGATATTATCGAAGCATGATAAGTAGAAGCCGTGTTTGAATTTATTTCGATTAACATTAATGTTGTCTAGAGACTATTTTGTAATTTTATCGTTCAATGAAAATAAAGCTGTAATTATCTCCCTTTTTGGTTACACTAGTGTTATATTATGTCATAACAATTTACTCCAACACTACATTTGACATAACCCATTGTCTGCTGCACAAGGGCAACCAGAAGCTGTACCCAATTAACACTATGTCAGCATGCAAGTACATGTGAGCATATAACTAAATTATCTCCTATGAAGTCACCAAAATTTGCTAAATCAACCTTTTTGTAAAGAAAGATGATTTGTGTCCTAAAGGTTTCCCAGCCCTACCCCAGCCAGTGAATTGATACTTTCCACTCCATTCCATTTGTCACTGCCGCAGGGAGTGTAGATGACAAAAAAAACTCTTAAGGATAGACTGTACATATTGTTTTCCCAAGGATAAATAGCCTCCTGAAAAAGTCATTCTTCCAGGTGGTCTGATCCCTACAAAATCATACACGAGCTATGTCCTTTCCTTCCCATCATTTATCGTGCCAACGAAAAAGTCTGATTTTAACCTAAATTGACATATTTGGCACCAGGAACGCTAAAAATACGAAATACTAATGTGATACGAGTTGGTTGATTTGTGTAAATCATTACATTGCCATCTTTATGTGTCTTGAAGGATAGTTTTGGGTGGATCGGGGTGGATTTAAGCAAATCGTGTCACTTTAAAAATGTAATGTTCCTGACGAATCGGGATAAAGCGGTGTACTATGAGGGAAGCTTTGCCCGGGTACCGGCTTTTCCGTCTACTCATCGCCGATTTGATGTTAACGAAGTAAAGAAGATATGAATGACTGACAAAACACAGCAACACGACGTTAACAAAATAAACAACAAACAAATTATTTTTCAATCTAGGTTACATTTTAATATATTGTAGTTGCTTTGAATGAATATATTGTAATTCTTGGTGAAGGTGAACATATTGTTAGCTTCGATTATTTGAAAGAAATGGTTAAATTATTACAATATATTTTACTATTATATTAGTATGGTAAAGAGTGTTGTTCACTGTTCATTGGTATAGTATAACATAAACTAGCTTGACTACACCTGACAAAATGATTCTCCACATTTAACATCTGAAAAATACAAAACATGGTTTATATATTATCAATAAACAAGCCGCCATACGCCTTTTAGGAAACTCTTTCCATCGAAAAGCTGAGCCTTAAATTGGAAATGAAATGAAATGAAATGGGGTTTAACGTCCTACTGTTCTGCTCCTAACCTGGGCTAATGAAGACGGGCCTTAAATTGGACTTACAAGAAAATCAGATTCGTGGGAAATGAAATGGGGTTTAACGTCCTACTGTTCTGCTCCTAAACTGGGCTAATGAAGACGGGCATACGTCATACAGTGTGCTATGATGGAAATTTTGCCCGGGCAGCGGCGCTACGGCCTACTTTTATATCGAATTCAAACTGCCAAGGGATCTTTTACGTGCACGCCAATATGTACACGGGGCCTCGGTTTTTCGTCCCATCCGAGCAAGTAGACAGCCGGCCTTGTCAGGCCCTCCGTCCTGCATCACTGACAAGGGGAAACCACGCCGGAAAATCTGGATGAACTTTCTCGGACAATGCAGGGATCGAACACCCGACCTCCAGGCTAGCGAGCCAGCGCCTTACCCGCTTAGCCACATGATCCCAAGATTCGTGGGAAAAGCAATATGTTTTACATTATCAATTTAATGGATTGAAACAGGTGTTTGACGATGCCCTCTGGTGTTGATCAGAGAGTTTATGTATGAGATATTCACAAGACATGTTATTACGTCATTTTGTCCAAGCGTTATCATCTCTCATACAAAGTTTTGCAGAAATCAAACTTTTGTTGTTTATGTAATAGCTAACAACCATTGTGAAGTAAATTAAAATAAGGAGTATTATTAGGTAAGGTTAACCTTATGACCAGTTCTTATGCCAACCTATCCAGACTATTATTCGTAGAATATTTGTCTGAATGATAGAGACTACTTAAAAGTCTCTCTAATTTGAGTTTTGAGTTTACTACATGTAAAACACGATAACACGATTCTGCGCTGTCTTATACTAAAATTACAACCTGATTAAAACACAGATCCCATTTTGTTTCGTTTTTTATACTTCAAAATTTCGTTTTTACTTGTCTTTTTTTGCGCTATCTTATACTTAAATTCTGATTGAAAGCCATATCCTATTTCGTTTCGTTTTAAATAGTTCAAAATTTCGTTTTACTTGTCTTTGCTACACTAAGATCTGGAAGAGTTGTCATATTACTGGCGTTCTGGTTGAAGTGAGGGATTAGTCAATGCAACGGCCTGTTACGACGAGCTCTAGGTGTGCGATGCACGGAACTATGGGTAAACCACTAGATACATCAACGCTGATTGATTAATCAATGTCTGACGTCATAGGGTCAAAAGCCACTAGTTAAACCCCTGAAGCGACCTTCCAGTACAACCGGTCAAATCGTCATGTAGTGTAGGCTATCGAAAGTATAAAAAACGAAACGAAATATAGATCTGTATTTTAATCAGATTGACTAAACGCCTCTTCCGATTTTCAACATTTTTGTCATTATTTCTGCCATTTTGAATCCCCCCAACCACCCCTCACTCACTCACTATGATATTGTGTACCAAGTACATTAAATTAATGAATGTTTAAAGAAATAACAGACAGTGTAAACTTATAGTACACCATATTAGGCGATTAATTGGGGGAATATACGTGAAATGTTCGTGTTCTGCTCCGACTGGTCTAATGAAGACGGGAATACGCCATACAGTGTGCTATGAGAGAAAATTTTGCACCGACAGCGGCGCTACGGCCTAGTCTTATATCGAATTCCAACTGCCAAGAGATCTTTTACGTGCACGCCAATGTGTACACGGGTCCTCGTCCCATCCGAACGACGAGTGTATGTACGTACTCAAAGTCAAACGTGTTTAAATCAGGAAATTTTGATGGGTGATTATAAATAGAATAGTGATTATATATTTACATGCACAGTATCCACCAATGCAGGGTCTACCAAAACACTCTATGTCTTCAACACATGGTACTATAAAAAAGTAATATTATCATGCTTTATTTCAACGAGAGAGAGAGAGAGAGGGAGAGAGAGAGAGAGAGTTTTACGTCCACTCGACGCAAACTAGGTAATTTCGGGACGTAGTTTTCATATTTCTTTATTTAGCAGTGGGAGGAAACAAGATGAGCCGGAGAAAACCCACAAGGTTGGACAGGCGAACCTACTCCTTGTCATGTACAAGCGGGGAATCCAAACCACGCCACCTGACTGAATGACAAATCTTATGATCTACCCCCCACCCCCGCCCCCACACACACTTTGATTAGAACACGGTGTTCTTTTATAATGTTTATTATGGACCTTACAATGTTAGTCTCAACAGACAGATAATATTTGATATAATATATGAAACAGGCTCATATCCCCGACAGTTGTATTCATCACAGATTTACAGATTTCTAGAAATGTTATCTTTAGAATAAATAAATACATTGGCGTTATATAACTGACCCATTGTCTATAACAAATATAAATACACCAGTTTTGTAGAAATGATCCACTGTCTATAACATATATCAATACATCGGGTTTATATAAATGACTATAACTACTGAGCGCCATGGAAAACGCATCACTTTTTTTCCCAAATATTTTATTACTAGGTGGTTTTGTATGTATAATATTATGCAATACTATGAACTATTGTTTCACCCAATGCTCCCAAACGCAAAAAATATCGGCCCGTGTGCACAAAAAAAAAATTGCACGAGATGCACATGAAAAACCCAATATTCGCGTGCAGCATTGTGTGTGAGCCCTTTAAAAGCATGTGCAGTACATGACCTGTGAAACGTCAATCTGTCGTAATTTGTTGTTGGACGTGTGATGGAATCGAGCTAGAGATGCCGAGACTTACTGAAAATCAACGGAATGAAGCCATGGGAATGTCCCGGGCTGGCATGTCTACACGTACTATTGCCAGACACTTCAATTGTCATCAGTCCACTATTGTAAGGTTGGTGGAACGTGTTCGAGTTACTGGATCAACACGTGTCCGTCAACGTCCTGGTCCACAACGCTTTACAACCCAGGCTCAAGACCGCTACATCCGGGTCACTCATCTGCGTGACAGATTCCGCCCAGCGACTCGAACAGGTGCAGCAGTCGTCGGAAGACAAGGACCAGTAAGTGCCAACACCGTAAGACGTCGTCTAAGAGAAGTAGGACTCCGTGCACGACGACCTTATGTTGGAGCTATCCTCAGGGATCATCACCGTCAGCGGCGTTTGATATGGGCCTAAGGACACCAGACATGGAGAAGAGTAGACTGGCAAAGTGTGCTCTTCAGTGATGAGAGTCGCTTTCATCTTTATCACGCTGATGGCCGTCAACGTGTGTGGAGACGTCTTGGGAACGTCTTGCAGACTGCTGCGTCTTCGAAACGAATCGATGGGGTGGGGGAAGTGTAATGGTGTGGGGAGGCTTCACATTTCATCACCGGAACGCCCTACACATTTGCAGGGGTCGCGTTAATGCTGTAGCCTACCGTGATGATGTCTTGCAACCAATTGTTGTTCCGATGTTTCGAGCGCACCCACAACTTCAGCACTTCCAACAGGATAATGTACGTCCGCATACCGCCCGTTTTAGTATGGACTACCTGGCTGCTAACAACATAAATGTCTTGGACTGGCCAGCCATGTCTCCGGACATGGCACCGATAGAACATGTATGGGATGAGATCGGACGCCGTCTGTATCGGAGACCACAGATGCACACCATTGCTGCTTTAGAAGCTGCTCTTGTCCAAGAATGGAACAATTTGCCCCAGGCCTTCTTTCAAACATTGGTAAATTCCATGCGACGTCGCTGCACAGCGTGCGTAAGAGCCCGTGGAGGACACACGCGCTACTGACATCTGTGTCGTACTTTTGGTTTTGACCCCTCTGACTTTGTACCGTTGATTACAGATTAAACATCCATAAGTGTACAAATGTGTTGTTATTGATGTGTTCCCATTTGAATATTGTTCACAATAAGAAGCAAAATAAATAAGATATGTTTACAGGATCATTTTGTTATACGAAAAACTAAGTGATGCGTTTTCCATGGCGCTCAGTATATGTGAATGCCCCACTGTCTATAATATTATAAATCATATTTACCGAGACAAACGCCATCTGAACAAGTGCCAGTAGAACCAAATATGGAGCAAGTGTTACCATATGGCTGTCCACCACACGTCATCACAACTAGAATATAAATAATTTACAATATATAACTGTGTTTAAGACAATCTGAATGACAGACTCACAAAAAGCTAGCCGCCATTTAATTTTCGTACTTCATAAGATAAAATGGTAACATGATATTGACAAAGTACAAAATCTGACAAATCATCCAACATAGGAGAGTGTTACCAGGTGTTCCTCTTGTTACTGTATTTAAGTATATCCTGCTATGCGCATTTGAATGATCAAGTAGAACAGTATTATTAATAGAAATAGACGTTTTATGAATTACATATATCTATATTATACTTACCACGACACGTGTCATTTAAACATTTAGTAGAACCACTTGGACAGAATTTACCCTCCCCACATGGATCACCTTAAATAATTGAACTATTAGAGTGACGGACGCTATTACAATACTTGTGGTTTATTTACAGTTTCTCTTACCTGGGCTTAAACATGAATACAGCTATATATAGTTTTCTTTGCGTTGTTACATTGATGATAACAGTCCAGTTTTCATAGATATTAAATAATCGGTGTATATCGTCAGTCATTTGAGAGAGAGAGAGAGAGGGGGGGGGGGGGGGGGGGTAACGTTCACTTGACACAAACTAGGTCATTTCGGGACTAACATATGGTTCAATTTTATTTCAATAAGTCGCTTGCACGTAGGGGTCTTTAGCAGTTGGAGGAAACCGGGGGACTCGGAGAAAACTCGCGAGGTTGGACATACGACCCTACTTCTTGTCACGTACCACCGGGGAATCGAAACGACTCCCATTCGGCCATCCAACCCCCTCGTCATTCATTTGATAATATAATTCCCAACATGCCAAAATGAACTGGTTATATGAATGTAGCTGAAATACATATTGCGAAATAATATTATAATTTAGTAAAACAAACAACATACCCAAAGCGCCACAATCAATACGTACGTGATCTAATATTTTACCACAATTTTGACCTGAAATATAAAACATGCATATAATATAAATGGAACGCCAAATTAAATAGGCATTGGTTAAGATTAGATAAAGAGATGACAGTTTTCGCTAAAATAAAAAATGAAAACAGAATATGCTGAAAATTGCTTCACTCTAAACCGAGACATTAGCGATTCAATTTTAGGCTAGCCTCGATCGTCATTACTGCCGTTGGTACGATAATAAACAAAGTCTCTATTATTCATTTTTACGTTAAATCATCCATCACAACCCGTATTCAAATCCATTAAATACCACAGGCATCAAGAGTTGATTATGGTTTTGATAATTTAGTTAAGGTATAATTAATAATTTAGATAACATTTACGGCCTAAAAAAGACCTGCAATAGGCATTTACATAACGGTAAACCTCTTGTTGTGTTCTACATATTATAGACGAACACCCCCTTTTTAAAGACAGTATCGTGAAACTATTGTGCAATTTACTAAGACGTATTTAAAATATCAACAGGTCGTAAACCTTGTGAAATCAACAAGTCGTACAGTTCCATAATATATTTGGGAGCCACGGTGGCTAGGTGGTTAAGGCGCTGGCTCGCTAGCCTGGAGGTCGGGTGTTCGATCCCTGCATTGGCCGAGAAAGTTCATCCCGATTTTCCGACGTGGTTTCCCCTTGTCAGTGATGCAGGACGGAGGGCCTGACAAGGACAGCTGTCTAGTCCTTCGGATGAGACGAAAAACCGAGGTCCCGTGTAAACATTGGAATGCACGTAAAAGATCCCTTGGCAGTTGGAATTCGATATAAGAGTAGGCGATAGTGCCGCTGCCCGGGCAAAATTTCCCTCATAGCACACTGTATGGCGTATGCCCGTCTTCATTAGCCCAGTATAGGTGCAGAACAGTAGGACGTTAAACCCCATTTCATTTCATTTCATTTCATAATATATTTAAGATTTGTATGTAGTCTTGACAATGTTTGATGATATTTTTCATTCATTTTATTATAACTGATGATCTTTTGAACTTGAATTTAAATTTCAACTGTTTACATAGTTAAGGGAAATGGTCCAATGACACGATAATACATTAATCAACAGACTAGTTACATGTAATACTTACTTTTGTCAATAACACAAGTATCACCAACACAGACTTCGTCATTATTTGTATCACATATATTACCTCCACAGTCAGTGACTTAAAAATAAAACCACATCCAGGGAAAACAATTGACTAATTAGATATTTTAGTTGAGGTAAAATTATTTACGATATATTTATTTACCTATTTAGCCATTTAAAAAATGATTACTTGAAATAATTTAACAAAGTAATACACGGAATATGTCCAGTTCTTTTTTTTTTTTTTTGGCAAATCAATACAGAGATTATATAATGGAATATTAATTTTATCAGTAAGTTAGAGCATTATAGTTATTTGCGTGTTATGTGGATAATCCAGACTGGATTGGTTATATTATGTAGCATATTCCTAAAGCAACAACTGCGAGTTTTACAACATCTAGACGTTGCTTGCTTACTTCACAATTCCCTAACTTATAGCTATTTCATCTACAGACACGTGAGCAGTAGCGTCCAATCAGAGGTTGTGACATCGCGACCTCCACGGAAAGTTTGACATTGAATGAACTTTGAACTTTGCATCTCGATTATCATAGGTATACATTTTAGCTTGAAAGCGCGAGACTTGGTATTCGCGACGATCGAGGAATCTGATAGGCTCACAAGCTGAGCTTGTACCCAATCGAATTTAGTGCCGAAATATGCAGGGTATTGCGTGAAGGCCTTGATAAGATGTACGTAGTTAAAGCGAGATCAAGCCTTCTATTGAAGATGATTATGTAGCTTCTAGAAGACTTACCATTGGCGATACATCTTGGTAGTATACATATTCCTTGTCTATCGTCGTTATAACACTCTGTCCCGTTACAGACCCTCACTATAAAATAATTATAATATTGTTAATACCATAAATAAACACTTATTATTAGATATCATCAGTCATGTGATATATTCCCGATATGAGGTCTCTCATTCATGTTAATCACCACATCAGATCATGTGTTTCACCAGTAAGTAAAGTAGGTAATATACAGACCAAATACTTACTGTCACAATTAGCTCCACCAAAACCAGATATACAATTACAAACACCTTCACCTACACATTGTCCACCATTCAAGCATTCTACATTATCACATGGACTTACTGAAAAGCACAGTGATGTTTATCCTTAAAGTAGCTAAGTATCTAACTCAGTATCGTGCAAAGTATTCGACATTGAAAACACAAATTATTTGTCAATTTAAATCAACATTGATGTTGTGATCTTACCGGGAAAGGATGGGCTTCTGATATCCAATATTTAAGACAAAATAGACATTTTACCATCGGTACACGAATCGTGTACTATAATGCGTTTCAGTGCCATTTGTAACACGGGGCTCGAAGAACGGGTCATGTCAAACGGTGACACCTTATTCTTATCTGGAGAGCATGCGCAATAAATACTATCGGTGTAAACTGGAATAACCAGACGCCAGAGATTGCCATTCGATTGAGACTTCTGGCGTATTTCGCCGCACATAACTGATTTGAAATTAGATTAAAAACGGAAACGATTGAATGTAAATCAGTTTATATAAATTCATATCACATTATTATATGTGTTGCGATCCATTTGTGCCCTCTTCTAGGTCCACAATATTACCGATTCTCCTTTAAACCATGTGATTCACCAGCCGGTTAAGTGTTGACTCTAAAGACAAAAATCACAACAAATACTTACTCTTACACGTTGGTCCACTGAAACCAGACGTACAATTACAAACACCTTCACCTACACATTGTCCACCATTCAAGCATTCTACATTATCGCACGTACTTATCGAAAAACACAGTAATATTTATCCTTAAATCACGTGATTCACCAGCGGGTTAAGTGTTGACTCTAAAGACAAAAATAACAACAAATACTTACTGTTACACGTTGGTCCACTGAAACCAGATATACAATTACAAACACCTTCACCTACACATTGTCCACCATTCAAGCATTCTACATTATCACATGGACTTACTGAAAAACACAGTAATATTTATCCTTAAACCACGTGATTCGCCAGCGGGTAAAAGGTCTAAAGACAAAAATCACAACACAGGGGCGGATCCAGGAATTTTTGCAGGAGAGGCTTTGCCAGGTTCCTGTTAAGTAAATTTGACGGTTGACAATGCTTGATGCCACCATAGTCTCCAAATTATATAGGCATACATACACACTGAACTTTTTAAAGAGAGACGTCAATGTTTATTATGAATTAATAGGATCACATTGTGATACAATTTCATTGATGCAAAGCATTAATTGTGATAGCACATAATAATGTCTAAATAATTATCTCGAGCTTTGAATGCCCTTCTCATTCCACCATCTGATGATAAAGGACAAAACACATAACCGTGACACTTTTCTCATAAAAATTGTTGTTTTACATTTTTTATTCATCTGAGCAGGGGTGGGTGTGGACCTCCACCCCTTATGGATCCGCCGCTGTAACACATACTTACTGTTGCACGTTGGTCCATTGAAACCACATACACATTCGCAAACACCGTCTCCTACACATTGTCCACCATTCAAGCATTTTACATAATCACATGGATTGCCTGAAAAATAACACTGTAATATTTACACATTACAGTAATGCGTGATTTATATTTTTCGGAAAATATAAAATTTGTCACTGCTTAATTTACGTTAATATGCACTCGGATTAATTATTTAACATTTTAATCAAGGAATCAAAATTAAAATACTAACGCTAGATAATCTCCCGGCTTGGAACAGGCCCATCAATTTGTTTCACGGGCAAACAAAGGTGACAGAGCCTTGTTAAATACGAAGATAGATCGGTGTAATTTTCAATGCGTCATTTCTTTGTAAAGACTAAACGAAATTAAACCATGTTTAAGGGATTCAACAGCGCTAAACTCCACGCATAAATAATGGATAGACGTCAAAAATGGTCAATATATGAGAGACAGGACAACCATGCAAGGCGCTTTAAATAAATTAGAGATTCAAGTTACACAATATTCTAGTATGCAAGGGATTCTATGGCGCTAAAATCAAGCATACAGCCTTTAAATACAAGAACCCTCGAGGATAACATGAATGCTTTAAAGATAAATTCATAACGTGGAGATGTATCTCAAATACTGAGATCACCTAGGTCCCATGTATTCATTGAAAATCAACAAATGTCCCATTAAACCATGCGAAAAGGCATGGTTACACTTCATTATTAAACTAAAGGTGACAAATCTGGTGCCCGATATGTATACTAAATTACATGTACTCTGTAAACAATATTCATTTTTTAATTTGCCGAATTTCGTAGTTTAACACTTTTTTTCTGTTAATCGATGGTTTTGTTTGGAGAAATTGTGTTAAGAGTGTGAATTATTTCTTGAAATTACGTATTTTATGTATTTCTATGGGATATTCAGTATTAAACAGGAAGTTTCAGTGAAATTTAGGGACAAAATGTTTTATTCTCTTCTATAATGGACTTAATTCTGTTATTTTATGGAATAAACGGTGGAATGACCAGAAATTTCCGTGAAATTTAGGATGAAATATTTTATTCCATTCTGTAATGGACGTAATTCTGTTATTTTACGGGATAAACGGTGGAATGGCCAAGAATTTACGGATTATTTCTGTTTGCAACTGCAACAATAAGTAATCGGATACATTAATAATTCCTAATAATTATGATGTTATAGTATTCATTTCAATTAATTAACCATAATATGAAGAATCATATTTTGTAAATTTTGGTTTATTACATCTCATGTATATATAATTTCCATTATTTATAAGATCTATAAAGTGTATTGTTATTCATCATACGTTAATCAGATAGTAAGTATTTTCATAAATGTATAAAAATATGTTAATATAGGTTGTAACGTATAAAAATATGTGTATAGGTTGTAATATCTGGTAATCAAGCACGCTGAAATCCGGATAGTATTACCGATTGGCCAGTGTAATTCGGCAGAGTTTAGTTGAGATATTCCGTATTCTTATATTAGCGGAATGAGGATGCGTATAAAGATTGTCTGCGATATCACTTCGGTGGAAGCGGACATTAAATAAAGCTATTTCACACACGCGCGTGTAAAGTCAATGGTTAATTCAATGAAATTTTGATCACTTTCATTCTCAGGAAACAAACATTACCAGGATTTATTGTTCTGTATTTGAAAATGGAATTTATGTTAATTGAAGAAATTTCTGTAAATTACAAAAAAAAAAAAAAAAAATACGGAAAATTTTTCCTGGTAATTTTTTGTTTCCGGGCTTTCTTACATTTTTTTAAGGATTTTTTTGTTACAGTGTAGACTACAAAATATTTCCTCGGGCTTTGGCACTAAGATCAAGAGTGGCGGTGGAATCTATTATTTCAGTTCAGCAACCCAGTTCAATTCCCGGATGAGATACTGCCGACAATATTGCCACTCTTACAATTCACGACAGGTCTTATGCATATGTTGTCAAGATTGACCAGATGGAAGTTTCAATCTGGTGGACCGCGACTACTTAATAAAAAATATTAAACTAGTTTGGCTTCGGAGCAAAGTTTATCACTTGTATTAAGATATTGTATTCTAATATAAAAAGTTGCATAAAGTGCAATGGACATAATTTCACTTTTTTTGATGTTAAAAGGTCTTTCCGATAGGGCTGTCCGGTACGACCATTACGGTAGTTGATGAAGATTTGATTATCCAATGCTCCAAATATATCACGCTCTAGTATTGGGTGGAAAAATCAATATAGAAAGAAAAAGTAATTCTTGATATTGGAAATATTCATTCTGATTTAATAAGATAAATGATATAGATATTCCTAAAATAAGAATAGCACAAAGATTCTGTGTATATCTTTTGGTCAATAAGGAACGATGTGAAATGTCAAATTTGAAAGAAAGATTGACGAAGATAAAAACTGTATCAAATATTTGGTTACAACGTAAGTTAACCCTCATGGGAAAATTAGTCCTAATAAATACATTAATCTGGTCAAAATGATGGCTTCTTACATGTGTAACCTCAAGATTGTCACATAGTTTCAATGAACCAAGAAACCACTCAAAATTAAACATCATACAAGTATTGGGAAAATACAGAAAGGTGGTCATTTCCGTGGACCAAGAAACCACCCAAAATTAAATAATTCTACAATTATTGAGGAAAGACAGACGTGTGGTATTTATATTCCCGATTTGAGTCTTAACAAATATGCTTGGCGTTTAAAACTGCTAAATATTATGTAAGTAGGCCTAATGATCAGTTTATTTGGAACAAAACTATGACTTTATTTGTGTTTTCTTATAAAAACTTAAGATTTTTTTATCTTAAAGAATGAGAAATCAGAATTAAATTTTTTTTTTAAATTCTTTGTAGTATTATTAATAACATGGGATATTTTTTCGAGAAACTCGAATTATTGACGAGATTATGAAACATTTACTATTTTGTAATCAGAATTGAGAATTCAGTAGAAAAATTAAGAATAGTGATATTTTTTTTATTAAGAGTCAGATATTAGCTACCAAATAATTCCGGACCTCTATACACCCGAAACAAGAGCAGAAAAGGTCTTGGAATAGTTTTCAAATGTAAAACGCGCCAATTTAAACAATTATATAATAAGATCTTAGACAGTATCCCCATATATTGGGTAGAATTAATTTCTGCACCCGCTTTTGTAGAAGATGGGAATAAGTGAATTGATATTGAAATTAATGATAGAACTTAAAAGTTTTCTGAATTTAGTGTAAAACTTACTACGTTATTATGAGATTCAAGTGCTATATGAGATGTTGGCAAGAAAGTGGTTTTACCCTCTGCCAAAATAATTATAAATACGTATATTTATCATATAAACATGCTGATGCGAGAGAATTGGATTTAAAAATTATTCATATCTGGATTAAGAAAATAAAAGACAATCGCTGTCCTCTATGTAAAATTGAAGTTGAGAGAATTTCCCACATGTTATTAAATTATCCATATCATGAATATTTAGTTGAAATATTTCGAAAGTATTTCATCGCTATGAGGCCGTTGGGTTTCTTTGCCAAAGATCTAGAACAGTACTTCATGCTAGAAATACATAACCTAGTGTCTGATATAGAACCTTATTCTATCAATGTTATTCTATCCTTATGAAGATTATCTTTATACAAAAGGAGACATGTCTTTCTAGACGCTGGAATTATCATAAATTCTGACAAGATGTTTAAACTCTTAGTTAGGTATCAGCATATATTAAATTTTTTACAAAGAATACCAATTATTTCACCTATAACCGCGAAGATAGTATAATGCTTATGGGAACACTGTGGTACAGTATAGTGAAATTCCATGGTTATTATTATAGTATATTTTATACAATACATGGAAATAATAATGTACATCAATACTAATACTACTCTTTCTCTTTATACAATTGTTACAAGACTTTTTAATTAGAATTTAACCAATTAAATTACAGAAATCAATTAGAAATTAATAATTCAGATTATATATTACTGACATCAAGTAAAAATTAACCAACCAATTCATTATATATCACAGAAATCAATTAGTATGCATTTAACCAATCATATTTATGTAATATAATAAAAAAAATACCTTCTGCATAGCGCAAACATTTTGTTTCAAAGATCATGAAATAACAATGTATTAATTATAAAGACTTGGAGACCATTGATGGGTCTATTTGATATACTTTTAAACATTTGAGATACACCAGAACGTACGTACGAGCAAGAAAAATCGTGCTTCACAGATCCAAGCCCTGGCATGCCTTTCATTCAACCATCAGGACATTGATATGGTTGATCCTAGGTCAACTTTTGAGAATTCATTTCAAATAAGTATATTATATTAACCGCGTACTAATTCCTTCTATATCTAATTTCAAATGTTTCGTAAATATTTTAGGATTCCGCTCAACAGTAACATGTGAAAATTAAATTTAAGAAAGAAAAGAAAAAAAATACGAATGAAACACTAGCCAAGAGATTTAATGTTTAATGTTAATGATTAACCATGTTAGGACATACGGGGTGCACAGTACAACTTGTACTATATACAAATAAGCAGATAGACCTGTTCTAATCTATCTTATAAACATGTAACGGTAAATCTCTTTGATCTTTGGGGTATATTCTATGCCCGGAATAACTTGCGGTCTGAAAGTCGGGGGAGGCTTTGGATATATACAGGGAAATTTTTTGGGTTATTCTTCTGAAAGTTTTTCTGTAAACCTGTAACGGGTTATTCTTTCAGGGTAGGGTTTTTTTCCATAAGAAAACATGATATAAGGTTTTTCGTGTGGGAATTCTGGGTTATTCTCATCTTGCGTACATGTAAACATAGACCGTTTATAAGCAAGATAAATTCCTCGACTTCGGTTATGCTGGGGAAAGAAAGATATCAGAAAAAACCCTCGACAGAAAAACATCGGCCTACCGGCCTCGAATTTTCTTTCTCTCGGGTTATTTTCTTCAGTCTTTCTTTCCCCAGCATAACCTCAGTCTCGTGCTTTATCCTGCACATAATAACCCGAATGGGTAGCCCCGTCCCTTTGGAAAACAGCGACAAAATTACAAGGAACGGTTAGGATTGAATTAGAGTTAGGTTTATTGTAAATAATAAATATGATCTGAAAGACATCAAGTGCAAAATAGTAATACTTACTGGGGCAACATCGGCATAGACCAGATTGTTCAACTATATCACAGTGTACGGTTTGGAGGTTCAGTTTGGGCCTCGGAAAGTTCCACCATCTTCTGTTCTGTGCAATACAACTTACAACAGTAACAGCAACCACAAAATACACAAGAACGACAGAAGCATGCATGATTCAATTTGAAGTTAATCGCTACTGCGCTTTCTTTTAAAGTCAAGTGAGTTGCACCTACCTTCGATTTTAACGAGAAGATACGCAGCCACCACGGTCGATACACCGACTGAGAGGAGCTAAATATTACTATTGGTTGCGGGACTTACATAAGTGACTATTGATTAGACGCACCTTAATCATTATTCGTATAGTTCGTATAAAAGTCCCTAACTCAATATCATCCACAGTCTTCGACAATGAAAACACGACTTATTTGTCAATTTAAATCCACATTAATGTTGTTACATTACCGTGAAAAGATAGACTTCTGATATCCAATATTTAAGACACAGTAAATATTTTAAAATTGGCACACGAATCGCGTGTCAGACTGCTAAACAAATCCCAGGTCAGAATACTACCGGTATAGACTGGAATAACCAGACGCCAAAGAATGCTACTCAATTGAGATTCTTCGCGTATTTCGCCGAACATAACTGATTAGAAATTACAGTAAAAACAGAAACGACTGAATGTAAATCATTTTATATGTACATTCATATTACATTATTATATATGTTGCGACCTATTCGTGTCCATTTCTAGGTGCCAAAGATTAAAGAATTGGCTCCTTCAATGGCTATAACGGGGATTTATTCCGACTAAGCGTTAAAACCGTAAAAAAAAAAAAAAAAAAAAAATTAAAGGGTGCACACCTTTTCCCTGTGGTTTGTGTTTTAAGTAAGTACTTTTTGGTGAACGAGCACCCTTTTCACGTACTGAATATGAGCATTGTGTTGTCTATGGCCATTTAATTCCCTAAAAAGAATCTGTCAACAAATGTTGCCTCAGATAAATTGTGATGTCCTGAATCTTAATTTAATCAAAATGGACGGCAAATATACCACAGAAGGCTGTTTGTTAAAAACGAATGTTCAGATTGTATATCAGGGGGTATCTTCTTTGAGCGGTAGGGTGGGTGGTCGAATAGATCATCATTGAGTGGTTTCAATCTAACCTCTTGGGTTTTTCTCCTCCGAGTCCTCCGGTTTCCTCGGATAAATATTGTGACCTGTAGATTGTCCACAAATAATGTGAACGGGCACACGTCTACATAGACCGACGGAAAGGGGCGAGGACATAATAGGGGCGATTAAAATTGATTGGGGTAATAGGTGATTAGATGTCCATAAGTGTCGCCGGGGTTAACACACTACACGAATTGTTGCCGACGAAGGGGCGGCTTGAGAGATAATATCAAACGTGCGCACACTCGGCAATTTTTAGATTTTGAATCGTCGGCGACATAGTGTGTGCCAGGCTTAATTAAGGAGGTATGAAATATAATGTCAAAGTATAATGTGAAATATGATATACATTATTAAATTTTATCAGCATGTCTAATTTGCAGTATATGGAGCCATCCTTTGATATGATTGATTATTTTAAAGTTAAAAGACAGTTTATGCATTCTAATATGGGGTTATCTTTTATATGACTGATGTTTTCAAAATTATTGGACAGTTTATACATGAGTATATGGAAACATCCATTTATTGAATATTTCTATATTAAAACGAAAGTTTATACCCTGTCATATGATAATATCCAATAATATGATTAATGATTTTAAAATTTTGAAATTTCTAATTAATAGAAAGCTTAGTAGTAGTGTAAGGTTGTTCGTTTTCACCCATTCCTGATTTTATATATTCCAACAGTTCATTCGCATAGTGAAATCTGTATATACTTAAAGATACATTATGGGCGATTAGATAAAGAGCTGACAGTTCTCGCTATAATAGTTAAAAACTAGATAAAGTAAAGGTAATTTGTTGAAAATTTCAGTCAAATTGATCCATTATGAACCGAGATATCAGCTTTGTAAATTTCCGCCTAGACTCGTTCATCATTACTAAAGTTAGTAGGTTAAAAAGCATAGTCTTGATTATCCAATGTTTTGATTTAATCATCAATGAGCGTTTGTGGCATAAAGGATTCTAATCCAGTCGATATCGAAGGCTAGCCTTGACATCGAGAGTTGATTATGATCTGGATAGGTTAATCAATGTCTAATTAATAATTTAGATAAGATTTCAGGCCTAAAGAAAGACCTGCGATAGGCAGATTTAGCTCTTGCATATATTGAACATTTCATTCAAATTACTTTATCTTGAGCGAAGTTGTCAATGGTTGTAGTTTTGACAAGATGTGTGCCGTGATCGTAGCCACCGTAATAGTCATTCGAGTCTTAGCCTCACTTCTCCATTTTTAAATTAAATGACGGAAACGTTCTAATCTACTTAAAATCGGAGCCACCCGATGGCATCGATAGTTGACCATGGTCTGGATAAGTTAATTAATGTCTAATTAATAATTTATAAAACATTTGAGGCCTAAAGAAAGACCTACAATAGGCAGATTTATCTCTGATATGATGCCTGTTTAAACGAGTCTCCAAACCTGACTAACGGCCAAAAAAATGAGATTAGTATCGCTAGGTTCCAGTAGAATATAGAACATATATACAAGCTTAGGATTAAAATATTTATATCATAATATTTGAATTGGATATTGGATATTGGAAACAGATGTTTCAATACAGAAGATGGTACTGACATAGATTGTACTGACATAATTACTTCATAATGTCGTTGCATTAAGTCTAAAACTCAATTATAATACCGTAGTAAAATATATACAAAGATACAATATAACAACACACTTCCTCTTCAATAAGGAAGCAAGGTGTCACCATAATATTATATAAGAGACATTAAAATACGAGAATATCATTTCACAAATTTTATATGCGATTTAGAATACCATTAAAAGAAGGGGGCAGGGTGTCACCAAAATGTAAAGAGTACATTAAAATACAGAAATAGCATATAACGAATATTAAATGATAATATAATTTTACAATATATTTCCACAAACTGAATTTCACAATATACCGAATAATCTGTCGCACCTGTGTCTGTTGGTCATATCGACCGATAGACACAGGCGCGGATTTAGAGAGAGGGGGTGGGGGCGTGAGACAAAGTCCCCTCAGACCCAGTCCAAAAATACATATACTATTCAAAAAAAGTAGGGGATATTTGATTTTTAAGTGTTATTAAAGTCACCTAATGAAACTGACGAAGAAACAAATGACAAAATGAAATGAAGTTCACATTCATCGATTTATTCCAAATGATCGTTAGACTAAGTAAGGCACAGACTGACCATTATAAGGGTAAAATGATACCCGGGGTCAAACAGCAAAGTTACCACAGCATCACAACCAAGTCAGTAACGGGTAAATCCTCCTCTGTTTGCCAAACAAGCATTGATCCGACGTGGCATACTCCTAATGAGACGTCTAAGGTCATTTTGGTCCAGATTGTCCCATTCCTGTTGCAACGCAGCAGCAAGTTCTTGGACATTGGCAGGACGTTGTTGACGTTGACGTAACCTCTGTCCAAGCATGTCCCAGACATGCTCGATGGGGGAGAGGTCGGGACTCAGTGCTGGCCAAGGTAATGTGGTGATGTTCTGTTGTTGGAGGTAACCTGTAACGATCCTGGCCCTGTGACATCTTGCGTTGTCATCCTGGAAGATGAAACGGCGGCCATGACGTCGTGCGAACGGCACAACATGGACTGCCAAGATGTTGTCCCGGTAGTACTGGCCTGTAACACGCCCTGCAACAACATGTAAAGCCGTTCTTCCAGCAACAGTGATGCCTCCCCACACCATAACAGAACCACCCCCAAAACGATCATGTCTGATGACGTTAACGTCTTGGAAGCGCTCCTTTCGACGACGCCACACCCTCCTACGTCTGTCCAAAAAATCAACAGTGAACCTTGACTCATCTGAAAACATCACATTGCTCCAGCGTCGATTATCCCAGTGTTGACGATCCCTACACCAACGACGTCTTGTCTGAATGTGATGATCTCTCAAACAAGGGATCACGCGAGGACGTCGGGCGCGAAGGTGACCCCTATGCAGTCGATTCCGAATCGTCTGGCCACTCACTCTCACACCAGTGTCTGTTTGAAGACGAGCGCTGATCTGATTTGCTGTGATGACACGATTTCTCAAGGCCAAGGTACGGATAAATCGATCCTGGGCTTGAGTTGTCGCCCTTGGTCGACCTGAGCGTGGTCTGTCCTGTACAGATTGTGTATCACGGTATCTGGACCATAGCCTGCTTATGACAGACTGAGAAACATTCATCGTCCGCGCCACAACCGCCTGTGTTGTGCCGATCTGTAGCATGCCAAGGGCACGTAACCTTTCATTTTGGGTAAGCCGACGCATATCAAAATTTGTTTTCTGGTCACTAAAACAATTAAACTGATGTTTCCACCCTGGAATTCAATGCCACAATGACTGTAACATTCAAAGTCAGAGTCGTGCAAATCTTGGGTTAGACCCCCATGATGATCCCAAGCATCACCTGCATTCCATGCGGTAGCTATTGGTGCGTTTGGGCGTCACATGTAACTGGAAATGTTTCTTCTGTTAGGTTCTATAGTGACTTTTTTCGTAGTCATTTGCATTTTTTAGTATTATGCCCCCAAAATCAAATATCCCCTACTTTTTTTGAATAGTATCTGAAATTTAACGCGCCTACGGCGCAAACGACTCAATTTCCATTTGTCATTTAAAATACGTATTCTGATGAGTAAGACTTCCATTGGTTGATTTCGTTGCTGTAACTCGTTTATTCTTTTACTCTAATTCCTGCGATTTGCATCTAGAAACATGTCTTTATTCGCGGATCATCTGATGTTCGTTTGGCAACGCGTTGTCCACAGAACATATTGTTTCCACCCAACGCCGGATTAACCATAGTGGGGGCCCTGGGGCCTGGAACATGTGGGGGCCCCTGATCACCGACCGCAGAGCTGTGGCCGGCCACCGCGAGCGCCAAAGTCGCGAAGCCCCGCAAGGGGGTCGGGGGGGGGGGGGTCTCCCCCCGGGAATTTTTCAGAAATTATAGCTTATTTCAACACTAACTACGATAACTCAGGTAAATAGTTAAAATACTGTACAAAGGTTAAAATGAGTGACAAAAACTGACTAACGGTCACAATAACCAGATAGGTATAGCTAGGACGAGCCGGTTACCTGACTGAAGTTCCAGTAGAATATAGAACATATACAAGCTTAG